CACTCGTTGTTGTTGTTGTTGTTGTTGTTGTTGTTGTTGTTGTTGTTGTTCACACAGGATCCTGGTAATCTCTGTAGTTGCCAGGCCTATGATGTCCTCGTTTGCAAAGGGGCTGAATTTAAAGATAGTGATCAAAGTGACCTTCTCAAACATATGTGTAAGAGACCCGTGAAGATCCGGGTCTTCAGCAACCCATTCTTGCCGTAAGAGGAGTCTGGAAGGTTATTTAAGGTACCGACGTTTACTACAATATCTGAAAAACTATCGGACCTACTCCAGTCAAAGTTGGTATGAGATTATTAAACAGTCATACATAACTGGATATTACACTTAAAGACAATCGGTGCATGAATAAAAAATCTGTCTATTTAGCTATCACTATATTTCATCAACAACCAGACTTGTTCGTCACGGGTGGAACGAGCATTCATTGTAACAGCCATCTGCATAATGCTACCCCTGTGTCACAGGGCCATATGACACAGTTGAACCAATCAACTCAACTCGAAAGGGTGCACAGGAATCACGCACGTTGAGACGCCCTACGCTAACACCGTATTCGTGCGTGCGTGATTCCCGTGCACCCTTACGAGTTGAGTTGATTGTTTAACTGTGTCATATGGCCCTGTGACGCAGGGGTAGCATTATGCAGATGGCTGTTACAGTGAATGCTCGTGAGAGACAAACTGTATGAACGCGGAACCTTCGTTCAATGTCTGGCCCTTACTCTATGACCGTTCATACTCCAATGAATTCACACAAGGTAAAAGTCAATTCTGATTATTATTTATGTCCCTATTTGATATCTGAATAATACTCAATTGCATTCGGTACATGAGAGTTCATGTTTAAACTAACGGTCATTTAACAACTACCTGCATCGCAGAAAAAAATCGAGAGATGCATTCTCAAAATTGCCCACAGTAACATATTTTGTAGTTTGGTTCAGATCTGAACAGTATCATCATTAGCACGTCATCGTATTCCAAATGCGTGGATCACTGTTCATGATGTCAATCACTGGATTGTCTTGTCCAGACTCGATTATTCACAGACCGCCGTCATATAGCTTGAATATTGCTGAGTGCGGTGTTACACAAACAAACAAACATTACTTGAGCACTGGCTGTTACAAACAACCTCAGTATACGTCAGTCGCCGTGGTAGTGCGTCGTAAAACATTTCACTTCAAGACGTCAAAATGGCAGAAACGATCAACATGATGGGGAATTTTCCGAAATTGTTAATAAATCTGTTGCGATGAGGTGTTGTTCATCATTGATCAACTAGCAGAGGTGATCATAAAGATGTGTCGCATAGGTGCTGAAGTTTGGACTTCCTAACAGTAGAAACTTTACGTGTGTACATTTATTCATGGGTAGTTACGAGAATATTCAAGTGTTTCCAATGTATGCACAAGCCCCGAGTACAAGATTAAAGTGTCTACGTATAATACAGCGGTCTTGTAGATTAATGAATTCCCCAGGATTTCCCGGGAATGTGGAAGTGGTCCGTCAGTGTTTACGCCATTTCTAGAATACAATATCGTGAAAAATGTATAAAGTGTGTCGTTAATACGCTTATACACGTCAGCTTCGCAGTCATGTGACTGGCCTCTGGTCCAATGAAAAAGCCGTATATCGTGTTAACTTCACGCTAAAGAATTATTATTAAACTCTTAAACGCACGAGAATCAGAAACTCGGGTGCCGAACATTTTCAAAATCTGTAGGCATGTCTAGACAAAACTAACTATATGTCAGGATAAGAGTTCGGTTTGATGCTGGAAGAGTGAGTGAGTGAGTATGGTTTTACGCCGATTTTAGCAATATTCCAGCAATATCACGGCGGGGGACACCAGAAATGGGCTTCACACATTGTACCCACGTTGGGAATCGAACCAATGTCTTCGGCGTGACGAGCGAACGCTTTAACCACTAGGCTACCCGACCGCCCCGATGCTGGAAGAGCTCACATCAGGAGGTTTTTAGAATATGAAATATCTGCTCGGTCGAGACGTTTGATTGAGCTCGGGTATTTGTTTTATAAATCAGCTCGATGTCTACCATTGAAAGATCTAAGCTCAACGCAGCTTTCGTACTGCAGTATTTTAACAGCCAGGTTTGGTAAACAAAAAACTCCGAAGCTGAAGCTTGCTCTCAACTTTCAGCTTCTAACTTTGAATGTAGAAAAATGAAATGCTCTAAACCTCATTTTGACTACAGCTCGCCGTCCTTTAAGTCATATGTTAAAATTCAGAAATACAAGAGTTCTGCAGATCCTTTCACTGTCTACTTTTTCTCAGTCGCGTTCTCGGCACATGGACACAGAAACGTCAACGTCGGGGACTAACCAGTCTCGGAGACCCGCCGAAACTTCCTCCAATGAGCGTAAAAGGTAAAGTAGTGGTGAACATTATATGAACGAATCAACGGAAGTCGGTGATGACACCAGGTGTTCTCAAAAAGGCAAAGCATGTCCTGCCCTACCGGTGTTAAACAATGTCATCTGAATCTGATCAACGTCAGAATGTCTTTTTAAATACGGAATGGAATCGCTTGTTTTCTAGTACCCGGGTCTGGCGGCATATACTGTGATTGGCCAACCCTGGATTTCCTTTAGTAATAATCATTTTGATATCCATAAGCAGCAAAAGAAACAAAACTTCGCTCAAATAAAATGTCAAAATCGGGGAAGTCCGAAAGAACAGGGTGGAGTGAATAGGAGATTTGGCGTTACAATGTAGATTGAATTAGGAATGTTATAACTGAAGTACTTTTCAAAGCGGCGTTAAACCCAGCTCACTCACTCACTCACTCACTCACTCACTCACTCACATCTGTAAGAAACAAAGGGCACACCTTGCCAGTGGCCGCTTCGTATGTACCGTGTCACTCAAACCACGGTGTCTTTGTTTCCGGGGACGTCGCGATGACAGACTGTCCAGGAAGTCACTCCAGAAGCATGCGTTCACCAAGAGAGCAACGCGTGATTAATGTACTCACTCGGACACTTCATGAGCAGATAACAAAACGACTGATATTCGACGGGACCTATACGATGTGTGAATATCGTTATACTGTAGTGCTCGCGCTAGGAGCCCGGAGCTTGTAAGGGGCCGATCATTTGATATTCTAGGGCGAGGGGCTGGGGTTCTATCGAAAAAAATATCGAGTCCACGAAATGTCTTGAAAAAAATATTTATGCTTCAGACTATTGAAAAGAATGCCTGACACAACAGTGGCATTGTTGCAAGGTGTTTTTTCTTTTTTAAAAATAGGCTAATAGCTTTTTATAAGAAAGTATCTAGTCTTTGAATGGCATTTAGATGTGAATTGAAAATAAAAGAGAGAATATATGAATGTCAACTTCTTTATTAGGAGGAACACAATGTTACGGTGTACAGTAAACTACGGTTATAACGAACACGCTTATAACGAACTGACGGATATAACGAACTACTTTTTTGGTCCCGATAATTAGCTGTATTATGCTGTATATATGCTTATAACGAACTACGGTTATAACGAACTAAAATTAGTAGTCCCTTTGAGTTCGTTATAACCGTACTTTACTGTATATGCTTAGTTCTTCATCAGGTGAAGGAGTAAGTAAATACACCGAAACGTTGTGTTCCTCCCAATAAAGAAGTTGACATTCATATATTCTCTCTCTCAAAATAGTTTGTTTGTTTGTTGTTTAACACCGCAGTCAGCAATATTCCAGATATTTGATGGCGGTCTGGACCAGGCAATCCAGTGATTGACATCATGAGCATCGATCCACGCAATTGGGATACAACGACATGCATCAACCAACAAGTCAGAGAGCCTGACCACCCGATCCCGTAAGTCGCCTCTTTCGACACATAGTATCTGTTTTTTGTAGCTCTAGCTGAAAATAAGTATCTAATCTCGATACAAAAATACCACACGCACATACGCACACACGCACACACGGACAAACGCACGCACACACGCACACACGGACACACGCACAAACGCACACACGCACAAACGCACGCATACACGCACACACGGACAAACGCACAAACGCACGCACACACGGACAAACGCACGCACACGCGGACAAACGCACGCACACACGCAGAGCAAAGTAAGAGAGAAGATGACACAGTAACAAATGGCGTTGTCAGTACTAACTCACTGGGGGTTGAAAAGTTATGTTGGTAACTGAAGATATTGGTTGATGGTGAATGTATTTAAAGTTCTCGATAAGCAACGGATCCGCTGTCATTCCAAGAAAATTATATATGATGAATCTGGATTTCGAACTTACGATCATAGGATTGTGGCACGCCAAAAGGGACGTAAGTCTCCACAATCGGTAATAATCACCCACTAGAAGTTCATTTCGAGAAGCTGAGAGGCTCTTGCACAGGATGTGAGCGAATTTTGTTTTACGGCGCATTATTCAGGCTATATGAAGTTGTCCTTGTAGGAATAGTGTTTGGGCCAGATAACACTAACAACGATTGGTGAGTTCGGGTATGATGACAGGCAATCAACCAAGTCACCATGCCTGACTATACGATTCCATTCAATCGCCTCCTTCCACAAAAAGGTGGCGGGGATCTATTGAAACCCAGGTGCCGCGGTTGCTTGCGTTTCGACCATGAATGGGAGCTAGTGGTAACGGGGAAATCTGCTTCCGAAGCGACCATGTACTACGTTATCCCTCCTTTACCAAAATGTTAAAGTTAACCATATCCACAACAGCTCATTACATTTGCATAATGTATCTTACGACGCACAAAGACGATCGAGTGTCACGTGCAGCGTCTCGCCTCTGCAGCATCCATCATGATGGGATGAAACGGTTTCCTTCTCTGTGTGGAAACATGTAACCCTGGATCCCGCCCCCTCGGGCTACAGCGCTCCACCGAGGGGCCGGACCCTCGATCTGCCACCATCAAAGTGTACAGGGGTCAAATATAAGTAAACGTTTCTCTTAATTGCAGTTTGACAAGTTTGGGCCACACCGGATACAAGCAGACCAACGGCAGATCGCTTGCTCAGATCCAGTGGCTCGCTACACGACGGAGTAGAGTTACACATGGACATTTAATGTGAGCCAGACCAAGGTAAGCTTGTTGGAAATATATGTTTTAAAAACATTATTTAACAAAAATACACTTGACTACACTTGAACTATGGTTTCACTCACTACTTCACCAAGCATACCAGGTATGTTTCTGCTTTATAGCAGATTAAGGCATCTCTCTGTCTCTGTCTCTGTCTCTGTCTCTGTCTCTCTGTGTCTCTCTCTGTCTGTCTGTCTGTCTCTCTCTCTCTCTCTCTCTCTCTCTCTCTCTCTATCTATCTATCTCTCTCTCTCCATTCTTTATACTCACGTATTTTTGGGAAGCTGATCCCTTGGTATTTATAACATGACGGTATTAACGGTATCGTTCCTACTAATAACATTTTTAGTAGTATACAGCGTGGCAAGATGTATTAATGAAAGTGGTGATCAAAATTAAACTTTGACATGAAGAAAGGTAAAGTTTTAACGAGATAAAAGTGCGACTTTTGCCTTTAAGACAGCCTAGTTCTATTGATCAAGTTACTGTCAGGCCTCGATATGGGGAATTAGCTGTTGGCAGCTTGCCTTGAAACAAGAGAGGAGACTTGCAAAGTGTATACATTTCCTTTGTTTAGAATAATTTGTGAAAAATATATAAACGTATCAAGAAATATATGCACCGTAATACCTCTGCAACAATTTAATCAGATGAAAACGACTTTGCGCGCGACGTTTCTTGTTCTGTTGCTTGTTGTTTACGACAGAGATACGTTTGCAAATGGCTTTATAGATCTGCCATTTCAAAATTGACGTTTTTCTATTTCGGGTTTCTGGACATTTAAACACCTAGCAACCCACGCACTCCAAACATTGTATTGGCCAAGCTACGGTTGTCCAAATTTGTCCCAATAAACTATATGATCAGCTACGTTTGTCTACATTTGTCCAAATAAACTTTATGATCAGCTACGTTTGTCTACATTTGTCCCAATAAACTATATGATCACCTACGTTTGTCCAAATTTGTCCCAATAAACTATATGACCAGCTACGTTTGTCTACATTTGTCCCAATAAACTATATGATCAGCTACGTTTGTCTACATTTGTCCCAATAAACAATATGATCACCTACGTTTGTCCAAATTTGTCCCAATAAACTATATGATCAGCTACGTTTGTCTACATTTGTCCCAATAAACAATATGATCACCTACGTTTGTCCAAATTTGTCCCAATAAACTATATGACCAGCTACGTTTGTCTACATTTGTCCCAATAAACAATATGATCACCTACGTTTGTCCAAATTTGTCCCAATAAACTATATGACCAGCTACGTTTGTCTACATTTATCCCAATAAACTATATGATCAGCTACGTTTGTCCAAATTTGTCCCAATAAACTATATGACCAGCTACGTTTGTCTACATTTGTCCCAATAAACTATATGATCAGCTACGTTTGTCTACATTTGTCCCAATAAACAATATGATCACCTACGTTTGTCTACATTTGTCCCAATAAACTATATGATCAGCTACGTTTGTCTACATTTGTCCCAATAAACAATATGATCAGCTACGTTTGTCCAAATTTGTCCCAATAAACTATATGATCAGCTACGTTTGTCCAAATTTGTCCCAATAAACTAAATGATCAGCTACGTTTGTCCAAATTTGTCCCAATAAACTATATGATCAGCTACGTTTGTCTACATTTGTCCCAATAAACTATATGATCAGCTACGTTTGTCTACATTTGTCCCAATAAACTATATGATCACCTACGTTTGTCCAAATTTGTCCCAATAAACTATATGACCAGCTACGTTTGTCTACATTTGTCCCAATAAACTATATGATCAGCTACGTTTGTCTACATTTGTCCCAATAAACAATATGATCACCTACGTTTGTCCAAATTTGTCCCAATAAACTATATGATCAGCTACGTTTGTCTACATTTGTCCCAATAAACAATATGATCACCTACGTTTGTCCAAATTTGTCCCAATAAACTATATGACCAGCTACGTTTGTCTACATTTGTCCCAATAAACAATATGATCAGCTACGTTTGTCCAAATTTGTCCCAATAAACTATATGACCAGCTACGTTTGTCTACATTTATCCCAATAAACTATATGATCAGCTACGTTTGTCCAAATTTGTCCCAATAAACTATATGACCAGCTACGTTTGTCTACATTTGTCCCAATAAACTATATGATCAGCTACGTTTGTCTACATTTGTCCCAATAAACAATATGATCACCTACGTTTGTCTACATTTGTCCCAATAAACTATATGATCAGCTACGTTTGTCTACATTTGTCCCAATAAACAATATGATCAGCTACGTTTGTCCAAATTTGTCCCAATAAACTATATGATCAGCTACGTTTGTCCAAATTTGTCCCAATAAACTAAATGATCAGCTACGTTTGTCCAAATTTGTCCCAATAAACTATATGATCAGCTACGTTTGTCCAAATTTGTCCCAATAAACTATATGATCAGCTACGTTTGTCTAAATTTGTCCCTCCAAAACTATATGTTCATTATATACGTGATGAGATGAAGATCTACCGCCAAACCAAATCAGTAACTGTCCTCAACTCGAACCCGAGTCCCTAAGTCGGCGGCCAAGCGGCTGTTGTACTTAAGACGACCATCACCTGATGAAGTAGGTTCGTGACCCTGTAGGAGACTGTCCCGCTAATGGTTTATTCTGGTACCTGTAATGAAAGTATCGTGCTCAAACTCCCACTTAAGTGCGTTAGCCAGTAAACTCTTAAGCTGCTGTTACCGAATTGAACAAACCCGTATACCTCTCACACGTCCTGCCACTGACCGGATGTGCATTGCATGATGACGCCACTTCCGGTCTGTTATACAACTCGGAGTACGCTATAAGAACATGTATTTGTCACTAGCACGTCTATAGTCGTGACGTCACCCGGTCGTGTTTATTAATGAACCTATTCAGAGGATGCTGCAACAGTTCGTGTTTACATGGGTTCCAGCACCGCTGTCACTGTGACGCAACGCAGAAGATCAACTCGTATCGGGGGGTCCCCGGGCTTATATTAGGGGGAGGGTGATATGTGTAGTATCCCAGTGCATAAGTAGAAGCTGTGGTACAGTTGTAGAATTAATTCATATTGTCATCGGCGCTGACCATACGGGGAACATGCTGGGAATATCAATCGTACAATAAGTGCCATCTGACTTGGTAAGATCGTGAGATCGTGGAAAGTGTTTTCTGTCATTCATATTTTACTGTTTTAGCTCCGTGTTCGGGTATGCTCCTCGTACCTTAAATAGATTTTAATGAATGCTAATTAAGCTATATGTTTTGATTTTGTCGTTGTTTCTTGGATTTTGTATACTGCATGATGTATTTTTCAGATTCCTGAACGATGAAGACTTGGAAACTTTGGGTGTTTGTTTTCGTTACCCTCGGGAGCGTCTCACTCGTTTCACCGCAGTGTAAGTCATCTTCAGTCTTTAACCTTTGTAACTAGAAATAACGTAGCAAATACTGTTGATCTTAGATTAATGCGTCACCAAATTAATGTAAGTATACCCTGAGTTCAAAAAGCTTCATGAATTTGATGCATTCCCAAAGCACCATATCAGCAAACGACTCTAACACTGTAGACCTATAACACGTCGTATAAATTTGGTTATTAGCAGCTCGGATGAATAATAACATTTAATTTTCTCATAAACCTATCTTTTTCTGTTTGCCCTCTGATCTCTGAATAGCAGAAAAGCCTTAATTAGTCATATAAAAAATACATGTTAGGTTCACGGATGCAAATTGCAAACATTCCAAGTGTTTTACACAAATATTTTTTTTAAACTTAAATGGGTGATGTAATGCATTCAAAACATCTGCTGTCACGGTACCGTGTCTTTTCTTCAACCTGGATTAGGACTAGGCCAGACTTTTGTTTAAAACTAGGTTTACGAATCCGCCGAAATTGAAATGTAAAAAATGAAAATCAGCGGGGTGGTTTTTTTATTCCGACGCCAAGAAATAAGTAACACGTTTTTAAAACAAATATTTTTATCTGTTGCTATCAAAATAAATAAAATATTTAAAATACTAAAATAATGTATCGCATGAACTTCAAAATACTACGGATAGCGAAAAATCCCTTTTCCTTCCGCCCACACTTTTACCCTACGTACTTAACATTTTGAGGAAATCAAAAAGAAATATTTTAAGTTGGATATTTTATTTATTTTCGATTTACTGACGTGATGTTTAGGGCCCAAAATCCATAAACCAAAAACAAAGAAGACAAAACAAGGATTTATAACGCGAAGACGGTTGGCGAGTGTCGCAACAGCGGGGTATACCTGTGTACATACGAGAGTGATCAGATTGGCCATGGAGCCAGAAAGACACATACGATCTAGAAATAAAATTACGAACGTAAATAAAGGGTATAATAAAGAATCTATGCGAAAACGTAATGAATGAGTGAGTGAGTGAGTATAGTTTTACGCCACTTTTAGCAATATTCCAGCAATATCACGGCGGGGGACACCAGAAATGGGTTTCACACATTGTACCCATGTCGGGGATCGAACCCGGGTCTTCGGCGTGACGAGCGAACGCTTTAACCTCCAAGCTACCCGACCGCCCCTAAATCGTAATAAAACGTTATCACATAATTAAAACATATTTGTTGCACATTATTTTGAATATGATGTTAAGTTATGCATTTACTTAACATTCAAAGATGTGGCTATGTATTCAATTAACACGTGACTGAGACCGGAGAAACGGATTTGTTTTTCATATGAACTGTTAACTTTAAAAAACATTTTTTATATATTTATCTATTTATTTATCTTCTCCTATTCGTTCTCATTTTCTACTTATTTACTCTTATAATATTTGTTTAAACCTTTACTTATTTATTTGCACATATTTACATGTATTTATTTAGTTTTATCGTATATTAAAATGTTTCGTTGATGTGTCAGCTTATTTAATTACCTTACCGTTATCATCATCTACTTGTTCATATATAGTGAGGCATGTTTCTTCTATTTTCACCTGCAAATCCTGCACTCTCCCGCAGAGATTCACGTGTACGCATTAATGTGTACTATGTCCACTAAAATTGGCATTTAAAAACAACTTCAAACTAGGTCTTTAAACAATGTTACTGATTTAAGAAATGCAAGTTAATGCGTGAATAACCTTTTGACGGGGACCAATTCCACGGCTCCTGGCCGTCTGTATATCAAAAGCTATTCTTAAACTCTACCCGTGCGGAGTTTGCAGTTATATTCAAATGTCGTTCCAGTGATGAAATGTGATGTCCCCGGAGACGTGATCTTCGTGCTGGACGGCTCCGACAGCATCCAGCCTGTTGATTGGCTGAGGGAATTGAATTTCGTGGAGATCCTGATTGACAGCCTTGATGTGGAACCGTTAGCAATCCACGTCGGCATCATCGTATACAGCACTTTCATCGGTGACGTCGTCGGGCTGAACCCGTATAAGAACAAATGGACCCTGAAGCAGATGGTACGGAACTTGACGCAGCCCCGGGACGGTACCAATACCGCGAAGGGTATTGAGCAGGCTAGAAAGATGTTCCGCTATGAGGGTCGACCCAACGTCCCTCACATCGCTGTTGTCATCACAGACGGTCGATCCACGGTGCCGCGTGACACCATCAGACAGGCTATTGCAGCCAAGCGGGATGATGGCGTGACGATGATCGCTGTCGGTATTGGGAACGAAATCTTTTTCGATGAGCTACAAGAAATTGCTACCTCTGAAAGGAAACTGTTTAACGTAACAGATTTCAGATCCTTGCCAGGGTTGGTACAGAGTCTCCGGGACAGCATCTGTTGGGGTGAGTGTGTTACATAAATATATACCATATTGTCTCTATAAAACGCCCAATATGTGTATATTGCTCGATATTGTAATGAACCAGCACTTAATGGATGTTCTATTCTTTCAATTTAGTTCAGAACCGGTTTCATTTTTAGGATAATTGAACGGAAAGGCGTATCACTGTGTTGATGCGATGGTATAAGGCGGTCATGATGCGTGTTATTGCCATACTATATATCTCTCGATACATGATTCAAAGAGAATACTACACTCATCCTCGTTAGATACCATTTCTACGACACGAGTAGACTTTCTCTGGTATCAGACCAAGCGAAAGCGAGGTCAGATACCATAGAATGTTTACGAGTTTCGTAAAAATCTATCTAACAAGAATGATGTGGTAATTTAATTTATTACCCACGTTAAAGTGTAAATACGTAACAACTTTCGTTCGTTGATAGACCAAACTGAAAACGGTTGCAAAATCTGGTTGCGCATGAATATATATATGCCCAAATATGGGCATTGTTGACATTTCTATGCATACGCATTGGCAACATGCGCCTGCAGTTGTGTTTGCAAACAAAACAGCACCGACGCTTAAAATCCTTTTGGAAGAATTTCTTCAGCTTATGGTAATTCAAGCGCTATGTTATTAGTGCGCAGGACAGGTATAAGGAAATTTGAAAAGTCACATTAGCGCCGCGCTTTGAATATCGGACCAACAGTCGGTCACTCGCACTGCCGGGGTTCCGTCTGTGCAATCAAAATGGTTCGGTATCCTTCATCTATCAGCTGAATTTATATCATGCCCGTACAATTTTGGATGAGGGAAATCAGAGTGTTCGCCAGCGACATTCATGTTAACTGTACCACCCTATATACTGAAGACGTGAAAATCAACAATTCAAGTCAGTGACAGCTTCGAACGATCGAAGGGCAAGGTCACCGGAATAAGCAAAGACAACCCTGATCTACTCACAGCGTTTTACGCTGGAGATAGGGAATGTTATTGTTCACATTTGGGATATTTTGGGCCACATAATCAGAAATCAGACACACTTCTACGGAGTTTTCGAATGATTTGTATCGGATATGTTCACTTTGAGTGATCTGGTCGTGCAGTCGTAAACAAACAACTCTAGAAACAGTGCCCCAAAATACGTTACGGACGGGGACACAGATATCTGTCCAGATAGTTTAAACTGACTTCATTTCACCACGCTTATCCTTTTACGTTAAATCAGATTGAAAGTTGCGAAAGTGGTCGGATTGGTCAACTCGATCGGTAGTCGTGCATTGTAAATGGATATAGCTCGATTATATATTGTCTGTAGAAGCTCTATGCATATCTTATATAGAATGCAAACCGAATTTCAACCGTGTGACTATCTGTTTGGTTTAATAAAGTGTTTGTAAATATCTCTCGCTCTCGTGAGATTGCTTCAGTTCTGCCTTGTAGTTGCAAAATGAATGACGTCTATGAATGAAAAAAGTAGTCCCGGTGTGGCAGAGGTCAATGTTATCCACTCAAAACGAATATAACAAGGTCAACCTTGTACGGCACACGTGTGACGTACGGATTTAGTATCTTACCACCTGTATCTTCACCACGTGGGTAATAATTGTTTTAATCATCCAAAAACTGGCTCCCACAGGCAATGAATTTGCATCACAATGCTTTGCTGACCATTGTGACGTCATTGTTACCATGACGTCACAATCAAATGACATCACTAATGTCTCTGCTGCTGAAGCTGTTAGCAGTACTTTTTTATACTTAAGACACTGCTTATTACTGTCCACAAACAGACAAAGTTGGAAGAATGATGTTGGTTGATAAATAGAATCTCACCCTCGTGTCTTTTGATATCAGATATATCAACTCTCGTCGATAAAAGTTTAAAACTCCTCGGTAAGTCCATATACCGTCAGTAAAAATACAAGATAGTTGATACTGACCTAATATGAGACCGTATACCGTCAGTAGCAGCCATCTTGGATTTCCCAACACCCACCTCACATGAAAATTCTGGTACCGAAATTCGTTATTTGACACTGTTTTGTGTTTTACTATCATTTATTGTCATGTGCAAGGACATTAATCTGTTTTTTTAGATCACGTTCGAGACTTTATTGATAAAGATTATTGCGCGATGCATCGAGTCATCAGGGCTGGGAGTTTACTTGAAAAAATATACTATTTTCCACAGGATGCATTATGAGAAAAGTCATGATTCTGTTCTAATTAACAGAGGAATTCCATTTTTAAAATTGTATGTTGCAGTTATCACAACCACTACTTCAACCACCACCACGACTACTACAACAACGACTACAACTACTATGACACCGCTTCCACCAGAAGGTGAACCTTTCTATGTTAAAGCTGTTTTGTATAGAAACAGTGATGTACTACAGGAAGTGTATACAATTTGAGAGTTTTCGTCAACGGTGGCTGTTTTTCTAGGGTTAACCCGAATCTATCCTACCACGTGGTATCGTCGTTTCCAGCATGCACTTTTAACAAGTTAAGATAAGAAAAAGAAAAAAAAGTCTCCGGAAATATTTAAGCATTGTAAACTGGAGCTTGAGTTCCATATATATGTTATTCTGGTCGGGGTGTTGTACGATGATACTTGAAACCGGATTTATATGTTTGTTTGTTGTTTAACGCCGCACTCAGCAATATTCCAGCTATATGACGGCGGTCTGTAAATAATCGAGTCTGGACGAGACAATTCAGTGATTGACGTCATGAGCATCGATCCACGCAATTTGGATACTATGACATGCATCAGTCTACAGGGGATTTATATGAACATGTAGTTGGATAAAACTGGATAAACTGGACATTGACCTTATCCGGGTGAGACCCATCCACGCCCCCCTGTACTTGTCATCATCTGTCACGTGATACCGTGAAGCATTTCTAATCAGGAAGACAGGTAGGCAGGTAGACATTCCGGTTATATTAACAGGGTGACGTGAGTCACTCTGTATGAACGGTTTGATCGTTTATTTGACAGGAAGTTGTTGAATAACTGACCAGCTTATTAACGCACACAATCTTTGAATTAAATTCAATAAATGCATGTTATTAAAAGGCGTATTTATTGCAACATGTTTTTTAAAAAGATTCTATATCGTGTGTAGTTTAACCGTAGATGTTTTAAGTTGGTTGTGGCGGTTGAACGTTGGAATTGAAAGTTAGGACATTTATTACTGTATACTGCTAGTGTTGCGTGAAGCAATAATCACTTACTCGCAGATGGATAAGTATATGACTGTCGCCGCCATTTTTTCCAGTGTTGAACTGCAATATGCCGGCCGATGTCGTCATTCTCCTGGACGGGTCTGACAGCATTGAGCCCCCGGACTGGGCGAGAGAAACACATTTCGTAGCCTCCTTGATCAACAGTCTCGACATCAGTCCCAACTTCATCAACGTGGGCATGATAGTATACAGGTACACGTGCTACGACATTCAGAAATAGTTCATGGTGTCGAACACCCTACAACTCCATGACTGCAGTGAAGGATAAACTTTCTTAACTGAAACTTTCTACGTACAGGAGGACTCTGCCAGTTGCATCAAAATAAAATATATGATATATATTCTATATTTCGCTTTTCAATTTCAACATGTACATAAGCGAAACCAGCAAGGAGAAGCCTTGAGAAACAGTTAGAATCATTTGACGATGTTGGCAGTGTTGATGATGTTGTCAGTGTTGACGATGTTTCCAGTGTTGATGATGTTGTCAGTGTTGACGATGTTGCCAGTGTTGATGATTCTGCCAGATTTAATGATCATGTAAAAACATTCCTCCTAACGTGTAAAATCTGTCAACATTCGTAACAAAAAACGAATTGTAAACCAGTAGAGTGCTGTGTTACATCTTGTCAAATAAAGTAATTTGTTCTTCCCTCACAGTACGTTTGTCGGTGACGTCATCGGCCTCACCCCGTACAAGAGTAAAAGCTACCTAAATCATCTAGCAGGCCGCTTGACCCACCCCCGGTTCGGCACCAACACAGCTCTGGGCATCCAGGAGGTCAGGAAGATGCTGGCCAACCAGGGACGCCGAAGCAAGGGCGTACCCCAGATCGCTATCGTCCTTACGGACGGGCAGAGCAAGGACCCCCGAGAGACCATAGCTCAGGCCCAGCTGGCTCAGAAGGAGGGAGTCATCATGATCGCTGTGGGTATTGGGGCCCAGGTCTACATGCATGAGCTCGAGGGGATCGCCAGCTCAAGGAGGAAGCTGTTCAGTGTTGAAGACTTCAGAGCTCTGGCAGGACTTGTCCAGACGCTCAAGGAACTCATCTGTAAAGGTTAGGAATGACATAGATGCTGGTCTCGGGTTCACGGACACTAATGTTGTTTGTTTGTCTGTGTGGTGTTTAACGCCGCACTATATATCAGCCATATATATATGTCCCCCATAATCAAGTTTGTACCAAACAATCAGGTGATTGACATCATTAACATCGCCTCTTACGACAAGCATGGGTTGCTGAGGACCAGATCTAACCCAGATCTTCACGGAGTTTATCTAATGCATTTTCTCCAGTCACGGGAGTTAGCTGGGTGTAAAAGTGCAGTTTCCACCCCTGCCGAACAGCAATTTCGTGATTCGATCGTAGAGCCGCCAGTGGCGATTACGGGTTATTTCCCTTACATGTCCCTCATATTGACCAATCAGATTCCGCCTCTTTATATCACTTGATTCAAACAAGATAGAGGCGCCCAGGCAAGACAGCCTGATCGATGATCAAGATCTTTTTTGTAATAGAATGGGCCTAACCTCGCGAAGTGCATCAAATCACTTGAACACATTGATTAAAAACATGAAAAGATTTGGAAAACATCTGTCAACACCTATTTGACGGTACACATGCTCGATTATTCGTTAGACCAGCCAATATCAATTCCTTAATTCCAGCCTAGTTCGGCAAGGGCGGAAACTGGGCTTTTATGGTCAGTTAACTCCATTGCCCCTTGAAGATGACACTAATGAGTGAGTCGGGTAATATTTAACTTTGCATCGTCAATGATTCAGTCACATTGCGACAAGAACTTGTTATGGATAAATAATATGTTAATAATAGTTCATAGTTATATATTGCACCAAATAAAACGTTTCTAAGCGTATTACGAACATTAATAACTGTTTTGAAAACTGGCCATATATACGAATGTGGATGGGATATAACTGTATTAGTGAGTGAGTGAATACGGTTTTTCGCCGCTTTTAGCAATATTCCAGCAATATCACGGCGGGGGACACCAGAAATGGGCTTCACACATTGTACCCATGTCGGGAATCGAACCCGGGTCTTCGGCGTGACGAGCGAACGCTTTAACCACTAGGCTACCCGACCGCCCCTATAACTGTTTTAAGTAGCATACATATGTAATTTAGATAGTGAAAGGTTGATCAAGTTTCGCTAAATCTTCGCTCAAGAGAGAAACTGTTTAACTGTCCAGACGGGTTTAGGAGCATGTTCTGTTTCAATGAGTTTTTATTAGATGACATAAGGGAAGATCTACATGTGTTGATAAATGGTCAGATTTTATTAATTTGTCGGAAAAAGAAAAAATCATAAACATATTTCAAGATTCAAACATATGCTCTTCATGTGCTAAAAGGTTTTGAATCCCAAGTCGGAGAAAGCATCCTTTATATACAAAATTGTTAGCAATGTCACTTTGAATCATGTCATGTCTCTCAATAAACATACTCGAATGGTTCTGTACATTTTACATGTATATACGCATTACTTGTTATGATCTTATGTTGTACAGAGGTGAGACGGAAATAAACTATTGTCTGTCAGTGTGTCTGCAAATTAATTATTCCTAACCCATTATCCAAGTATATACGAAAGTAATATTAAAAAACGATACACAATAATATTCATTATTTGTCTGTAACTATATGTATTTCCTTGTACGTAGCAATCTTATATTTGAAGCTACAGGTAGCTACAGTTCAGCATGTTCAGCCTGGTCTATAGGGACGTCTACATTGTGTACAAAGTAGCCCGATAATAGTCACAAGGAAAGGTAACGCCTTCACTGTTTACTGATGAAATATGTCATGTTTCTGATGGCCTACGTCCATGTCCTTGCAGCTATCACCACGACGACATCTACGCCACGACCGGTGATCACCACGCCCATGCCGCCTATCATCATGCCAGGTAGGTCATTTCAACAGTAAGGAGAACTTCTGCCAAAGAGTCGAGAAACGCAAAACTGTATGTCCATGGGCGAAATATTTCAATTTCGCTATAAAATCGTTGGATTAAGTTATGTGTCATGATACTTGAAAGTAATACATTTATGTATTTGCGAAACAAAAACATGAGTTTTAAGTAAAGGAACATATTCTCGCCAATGGGCAGGCACCATGGGCGACATAGTGTAAATATTGAGTTTTTGAACAATTTTTATTTCATTTTTTCTTCCTTGGTATGTTCCCATGAAAACAGTATATTTAATTTTGTAAATACCTTTGACCGAGACTGGGCAAAGACCGTAGAGTTTCTGGACTATTGGGTTTCCAGAATTAAAATGGGACGTGTTATGACGAATTGTGTCCATTTACATCAATCAGTTCATCATTACCGGAGAAGTAGCTCGAGAACATCTAACCCACAGACGTGAGCACTATGGGCTGTAACACGCCGACAGATACAAAAAATTTATTGGTAAAATACTACTCTCGTTTAACGGGAGACTAGCAAATTTGATTTCAGTTAATAAAATGAAGTGTTATTTGTCTGACAACTCTCCAGGTGTAGGATCTGGACAGGAAACAGACACCAGACTATACTGTCTAGACTCGGCACACAGGAATCCGTGGACTCGATGTTTCAGTAGTTTGTCCATTTTCAGAGCTGTGTACTGGGTGCATCATCGACAACGGCATCGGTTACAACCCCTACCCCGAGGACTGCAGCAAGTACGTCCAGTGCTTCCGCGAGGGGCCCCGATTCCGCGCCATGGTCCGGCCGTGTCCATTCGGTCAGTACTGGGACACCAAGGCCATCAGCTGTAGGCCCTCGGAGCTCGTCAGCTGCTACAGAGGTACCAACGGTTCACCACACTGAGCCACACATTTCATTGTTTACCATTAAGGTCCTCAGAATATTTCAGAATGTGTTGACATGTGGTTCTGAAATATGAAAATTAGTCTTTTCCGTATCACTTTTATATTTCTCTCTGTTTTACCATATATTCTTGGAATTCGTTTTTTGTTACCTAAGAAGGAAATATTGTGCTTGGTTGACTCAATGAACTGCCCATATATCAACATTTATTTCCTTTGATTTACCAACTCCACGACCTTCAAGACCATTTTGTTTTTAAGCTCAAGGTGACTCTCGGGGAGGCATGTTTCATATATATTTCATTGTGACATCAGAATGTATATAATTGAGCATCTCGTCACGTGCACGTCATCTCGGTCTACTCCATCTGCTTGTTTATCACTCACAGACCCCTGCAGCAAACGCCGGGATAACACCGTCCACAACTATAACGGAAATGGCTGCCGCGCTTACTGGATGTGCAAGGGAGGTAACTCCGTGCCTTCCTGTTGTCCCCAGGGAACCCGGTACTTGACCAATGTTGGGTGTGTGCAGGACCCCACGTGCAGTGAGAAGTGCCCCCCGGACCCACCGTCCGGATCTCCCAGCAGTAAGTTCCATAGCTTGTGGACACCAGAGCTGCTATCACCAGCTTCCTTACACACCTGTGGGTGAGAAACCCATTTGAGATAACTGGTATCAAACATATGCGTGAGCTCGAATTCGAGGCCCGTGATTGGCTATTTTATGGTGATGACCTGAGCTCATAATGTGTTGGACTACTTTCCTGATAGTAAGTCATTGATAAGTTGGTCGTACTTCAGTCGAATGTTCACCCACGTCTGTGTTGAACGTTATGGTTTTAGAGTGTAAACCCCCTTGACACAACAGGAACATACATGTCCCTCGCCTTCAACCCTGACAAAATTACGCACACTAATACACTTCACCATTTTGAATTATGTGGGAAATTCCCTGTACTGTGATATCATCTACTGTCATTTTAGGCAAATCAATTTTTAGTATTTATCTGTATATCTCACGGTGGCTTGTAGATATCCAAGTCTCACTCAGACAACCAGTGACTGATAGCATGAGCAACGATCCATGACATCAGAGACAATGACGCAGAGTCTCGCAGGAGATAAATGTCGCCTACAGTAGTAGGGTCGTGTTCGGTTCATTTTGACATCCATTTTGCAAACTAAAGACGTATAAAAGATATTCTGTAAATCACAAAAATACAACAGAACGGAACCTCATTATAAACTTTCTACCAATCAGTAATTTGTGCGAAAATCCCCAAAAACTCTTTCCCCCAGGATCTGACAAATGCGTAAGTGAAACGTTTCTCATATAGACAGGCCCTTGACTATTTGCTTTGCGTCATTTTATACACAGAGTGATTTTTGTCTATCTAGTCGTATAAGTCTATTTTAGTCGACAGCCGTTTTTGGATTGTCCGCTATCTTGGACATGTGATCTTTTTAACATGTAGGCATAGCTTTGGGGGGCATTGTATGAAGGGGTAATAATCTGGTTGGTCATCATTTGCAGGCTCCTGCGCTCTGAAGACCCACCCTGACCGGAGGAACTACATCCAGACTATCCCTGGCTTCGGCGACATGGTGCGGCCGTGTGCCCCGGGCACCGTCTTCAGCCAGAACCTTTGCAACTGTATCATGGCTGCTCACTCAGGCAACACCACATCGGGGGGTAGGTGGCAGCACGGAGCGTATGAGTGAGGGAGTTTGGACTTGGGGGTGTTGGGTGTGATTGGGCAGTAATATGACTGTGGTTGCTCAATTTAAAAAGTCTTTCTATACTTTTAATAGAACAATTAACTATACAGAACCATGATGAGTGATGCGGAGGATGGAGCCTCCAGTGGTGATTCAAATACAATCTGTCGTCTTAAATATGTTTATTAACGCATGATGAAAACATGCATACATACAGTCAGAAAAGTTCATACAATCTTGCTCAGCACACGTTGTTCTCAATGTTTCCAATGTCGATCGATCATGTCACTCTCACATGCATACAAGGGGTTAAAAAAAACTCATACACCACATACGGAATATTACGGAACGAAACTCGTCCGGAAAATAATACGGAATAGGATTGCGTAACCTTATGTACTTTCTCACAGTAAGGTTAACACTCATGGTTATATATACATACATAGCTGGGATATCTTTTTAGTTATTCAGTTCTTCTACCCATGTAGAAACGGTGAGATATGTTACTGGGTTAAAGGTTCACTCTTCGGGCAAGGCGATTCCCAACATTTATAAATGGGCACAGCGGTATTGGTGTTCCACGCCTTGATCCAGAAATTGTGTTAAAGGGGCGCTAGTTTCTTGCTTAATGGAAGTCAGTGCAAGCAGCATCTGAGTCGAACAAACGTGTTTTGTTTTTGACGCAAACCGTCGTTTATATCAATGTAATAAGCACCCTAATCACCCTACACACTAAATATGCCTAGAACTGGAATTTGGGACGTGGAGTCTCCCTTTAAATAAACTTGATATCAATATTAGATGACATTGTGGCTAACAATGAACGACTACATGTTAATAAAGTCCTTCGCGTGTTACAGTGTGCAAGCCCTCCGTCCTCTACAAGTTTGACCGAGGCGTGATTGACCACTCCGGCAACAATGTCCAGGCAGGTGTCACGAACGTTAAACTGACTGGCAAGGGACAAGCCATATTTGACGGCAAGAGCATCATCAACATATGGAGGTTTGCCGGCATCGAATACGGTTCGAAGCTCGTTATCAACATGAAGTACCGTCTGGCCCAACCAGGAATGCCACCAAGAACGGGCGGTATTGCAGCACAGGGACAAAGCCACAGAACTCTTTGGTACCTGGTCAGTGAGGTCGGAGATATCCTGAGGTCAGGCAAGGGGAGCATACCCGCTAAGATCATACACGACATCCGAAAAGGAATATTATCAGGTACACTGGCTAGACAGATCATCACCGGGGGATCTGCGTCCACTAAGGCTGTATGGCAGATACTGTTACTCAACGGGCAAGTCGTTACATCTGGGGACGGATTAATCACGCCTGAAATATTACGACGAATCGGAAGTTTCAATTCCAATACTGGGCTGAGGATTGTGTGGTTCGTCTATGGGACCAATGGCACAGTGTTGAGATCTGGGAACGGAGATGTCCCCAAGGCAATATTTCAGCTGTTGATCCGGGGAGAACTTTCAGGGACCCTGGTGAAGCAGATCGCCGAGATTTCTGGGCTGAACGCAAACTGGCAGATCCTATCCCCAACAGGACAGATTCTGAAGTCAGGCAAGGGTCAGATAAGCAAGGACATCATCATCCAATTCACTGATAATGGTCAGAAGCATTTGTGGTTTGTCTATCGACAAGATGGATCGGTACTTCGATCTGGAACTGGGGTCGTTCCACAAGATGTCCTCAGGGCAATTAAACAGGGGTCAATGAAGGGGGTCATTATCAGGTACACACTGACAGGAACAAGCACTGCGCCTACCAGCAGTTCCACCTGGCATCGTCTCTCATCGGATGGCAAGATTCTGGAATCTGGATCAGGGGTCCTGACCAAGGACAAGATTACGAAACTGTCCGGAACAAGATCCTTTATTTGGTACATCTTGGATCTCAACGGCTCGGTCATGAAATCTGGCTATGATGTGATTCCTGAAAATATTTTAGCCGGTCTTCGAACGGGATCTATTAAAGGGACCCTGGCGAAGCAGATGGTTACAAACTCTGGGGTTCTTGGTCAGTGGAAATTGATAGGCAAAGACGGACAGGTGGCGAACTCTGGGTATGGACGAATTCCTATGAACCTGCTTCAGATGGTGTCGGGACACGGGGGTTTCAGCATGCATGGGACATCATCGTCACAAGGTAGCAATACTCTCACAGGAGCAACGGATGGTACACAGCAGGGAGCGTGGAATGTACGTAACAACGTTGGTACGCAGGGTGGCACACGGGGTGGTCAGATGACAAGTTCCTGGTCAAGTAGTGGAACGAGGGGTGGTATGCAGACAGATACTCGGGGTGGCCAGATGACGGGTGGTATGACGGGTGGGTCGCAGGGTGCCACAATGAGTGGAACAATATCAGGGTCGTGGACACGCGGTTCGCAGACCGATAACCAGCATGGTCAAATGACAGGTGGCATTACGGGTGGGCAGCAGGGCGGAATGATGGGCGGAACACTGACAGGGTGGGGGACTGGTGGCACTCGGGGTACATCAGGTGGTAGGGACAGTGGGATATTGACTGGAGGGAGCATTGTAGGTGGTACGGTTGCTACTGAAAGGCGTACACAGGGAGAAACCCGTCCTCATGTTGACCACCAGACAATAACAAGCGATCAAAGGGGTACTCGCCCAGCCGTGGTTCAGCCAGACATGGGTAGGGCGTGGACGACCACAACCAGCACACAGTGGACAGAGAGAACAACACCGTCTACTTGGCCGGGAGCTCAGGATATTAATCCTGATATCTTTGGGATGCAACCCGATATCACTGGTCAGTCTGGGTTCCCTGTTGGTGGAATGCCAGTGCCAGGTTTGGGTGGATCGAGAGTCAACATACCCAATATCCAAGCTGTCAATCGTGGGATGTCAGTTCAAACAGGATCCACCATTACAGATTTCAATACTGGAACACAAGACTTCCAAGTGCCGTTTGACCAGGGCCCTCAGTATGTTGGGACCAACTTTGAAATGACAGGACAAACATTTGGTGGGCCATCTGGACCAACCGTTGACCAACCAGGTCCAGTAGACGGATGGACAATGACAGAAGGATCGCTGGACCAAGGGCCCATCTTCGGGGGTATGGAAGGAACTCCCGTGGGAAGTGTACCTGTTGATATTGTTACGGGTACGATGGCGGGAACAGGTGTGATTACTGGAAGTGTTGGTGGCGATAATCAGTGGGCGGTACCAAAAACAGAACGCCCTACACCAAGACCAACTCCTGCCAGCACTAGGGCGCCAACAGTCCCTTCTAACATCGGAATGGGCAGTAGGCCGGTTGTTCCTAGTGGAGTTCCGACTGGAACAAGGCGCACTGTTACAGGGGAAATACAGGACGCTCTATTTGGAGGTGTATTTGGTCAACCAACTGGTACAGTATCCAAAACAGATACTGTCAGCACCGGAACGGGAATAAGTGGATCGTGGTCCATGTCAGGAACCAGTACAGGCCAGACAGCACCCGTGAATGCTGGAACCGGCGCTATACAAGATTCCCTTTTTGGTGATTTCACAGGACCAGATTCTGAGGCTGGCTGGATAATGTCCGCAGGAGAAACTCCAGCTGCTACTGGGGGCACGGAATGGTACACAATGAAGTCAGATGGCACCATTCTTCAGTCAGGAACTGGTGCTGTGCCACAGACACCAGGAGTGTCCGCTACCATATGGACGGTGCGCAAAACCATGGGAGCAGGGGGCGTGCCTTTCCAGTGGTCCGTCCACAAACCTGACGGAACGGTGTTCGAGACTGGCAGTGGTAATGTTCCTAATGACATCGTAGCACGAATATCGAAAGTATATTCAGTCCGTGGAAGCATGACTGTTCCATCATCTGCTCCTCGACCCTCGGCTATGTGGTACATTTTAGGATCTGACGGATCCATCATCAAATCCGGGACTGGGCAGATCCCTGTTGATGTTATTAGCGGGGTCACTGCAAGAACTATTTCAGGCACAATCATCAGTCATTCTGATATTGGAGGAACTACAAGATGGAAGATCATCCGTTCAGGAGGAAAGGAAACATCGGGAGTGGGTGAGATGCCCCCGTCCGCCCTGGAGGACCTCTACAATGATATAATGACCAGGCAAGGTGTTACTGTAATGAGGGGCACGGCCAACACTCGTAGGAGGTGGCAGATTTCCAAACCAGATGGCTCTGTCCAAACAGGTTATGGATCCATCCCTCAAAGCATGGTCCAAGGTACAATGGAATGGACTGTCACCCGCTCTGATGGATCAGAGCAGAAAGGAAGTGGACCTATACCTCAAGATATCCTTAATGGAAACCACAATGTTAACATAACAGGTACTATTAGAAGACCAGTAGATAGCATGGGCGGAAGTATGCAGATAATGGGTGGAGGTGCAGGTCTCGGGCTGGGTGGATCATTACCTGGAGGAAAGGTTGTAATGACTCAGACAGGAAGTGCCGCTCCGAGTGGGGCAGATGGATGGGGCGTCAGCTCAAGATGGACCCTGAAACTTCCGGATGGATCCATTAAAACAGGTTCTGGATCCATCCCAGCTGACCTTATTCAGAAAGTGAGTATGGACTCTGGAAGTCAAGCACATTGGTCGATCATAAAGTCTGACGGACAAGTTCAGTCAGGAACCGGGGCAATACCAACTAATATCCTACAAGGACCTACTTCTGGACAGGTGATCGCCTCCTCCTCCAAGTGGTCTCTTATCGGCCCTGATGGTACTGTGCAGACTGGCACGGGCGAGGTTCCACCCCATCTATTGCAGGCCGCGGCGGGGAACACTCAGTGGCAGATGACCGGACCCGATGGGAAGGTGTATTCAGGCACGGGTGAGATGCCAGAGTCTTTGAAACAGATGATGATGAATACAATGACAGGAGGAGGTGCAGGATCAGCGACAGGGTCAGCAGGAGCAGCAGCAGCAGCGGCGTTGGCGGCAGCAGCAGGTTTTGGAGGAGGCGGTGGAGGGGGTGGAGCAGGGACAATGTCTGGAACAGTTTCAGGAACATGGAAATCATCCTCTTCCCTAGGATCCAATACCGGAGCTCAGGGAGTGTCGGGAACTGTCTCGGGTGACTCATGGACATTTGGTACTGGTGAGACGTCACATAGCGGGGCCTCAGCAACTGCTGTTGGACAAGGAACAGCCGGTGGACTTTCTGTCCCCGTCCAAGTAGACAAGACTTACATCGGTCCACTCCAGTATGACCTTGTACCTATCAGGGGTCACGTTATCAGCAGACGCAGCTTGCGGAGACGTAGACGACAGGCGCGCCCTAACCCACACCAGGCGCTGGTCACAAACTGCAATGGCCGGGATGGCGAGGGTCCTTCCATCATGATTCTGGCCGGGAGGAAGAGAGTCGTGTTTTCTCTGAAGACGGAGAGGACAGCCCGAGCAGTCCTGTTGTCGCTTCCAGCGGTAGGTTGCATCATGGAAGTGAGTGAATGAGTCAATGGTGTTGTACGTCGCTGTCAGCAATATTCAAGCTACTTCACGGCAGCATGTCAATAATCGAGCCTAACGTCGGGGTTTAACGTCGCGTCCAAGATTCATGCAATTATAATGCGACGTGCATGTGCATGCAAGTGTGTGTGTGTGTGTGTGTGTGTGTGTGTGTGTGTGTGTGTGTGTGTGTTAGTCCGGATTGATGCCGATTTATAGTTCTAGATGCCATGCCGCAGTTTAACATGAATACCCCCAATCAACACAGTTTTCAATCCACGCACCGGGATACGATGACATGTATCAACCAAGTCAGCGAGCCTGACCAACCGATCGCCAGCATGGGTTGCTGAAGATCTATTCTACCCCGGATGTTCACGGGTGTAACATATTACTAAAACAACATTACGAGGTTTGTGTTTAATGTATACGACACACCCCAGTGTGCAAACGATGCAAGAAGTGTGCAGACACTGTGCAGACGATGTTGTCTGCAAGAGAATGAGTGAGTGAATGTTATTTAACGCTCCAGTCCGAAACATTTCGATGTGACGAAAGTCTGTAAACAAGCGAATGTTGACCAGGTCAGCTGCTTACTGGAAATATGAGCAAAGAAGCCTAACCACCCTATCCCCGTTTTAAATAGTCTCTTGTGAAAAATATTACTTCTAGTGGCCCACTCTCACCCGGAGTTACCGCAGGAAACCGTGTACCATACAACATGTTTCATGGTGTTACGTTGTGTAGTGTCAAACACTCTGATGTATGTACATGCTTGTGATGTGTTTCCGCAGCGACCTGGCTACAATAATATCCAGCTAACCTATGACGGGTCTCACATCAAGGGCGTGGTCAACGGCAAACAGAAGGTGCTCCCTCTGTCAGGTGAGGCAAGGAGTTGATGGACTCATTCCACTCAGCTTCCCATGGTAGACATAAGCTGGGCTCACGGCATGACTGTCCGACTTGAACATAATACTGAAACAATGCATGACACCGATATAAACTAGAATACTACTGTAGCAGGCCCACAGATGACATCCTTACCTTGTCAACTCGCTGACAGGGTGTAAACCTCTTCGGCCATCTGAACAATTCGAACCAGAAGGTCTGTGGTTCGAATCCCATCACGGGACTCGGACATTTTATGGCCGCAACGAGTATTATCATAAAACCGAAAATAAAATCATTGTCGTTTGACAAATATTACCATCATATTCTTTACCGAAAATAACCATTTTCACCTAACGAATATTATAAATAAGGAAACATTGAAAATTATTATCACATGATAAAATTCATCATATAATCGAAAACTAAAACCACCATCGCTTGACAAGTATTACCGTCCTGCTGTGCCCTGTTGCAGGTAATATCGAGAGGAGACAGGCTGGCATTCTGCTGGGGTCTTGTCAAGGATATCCAAGTTTTTCCGGAGAGATTGAGGAGGTGAGACTAGGATAGTTTGTTTGACTAATAAAGTCTCCTTATGTTAAGTTCTGCTGTAAACGCTACAGTATATAACGCGGATGATGCGGTCTCCTGCCTCGTGTTTGGGGGTGTGATTCAGTGTAGTCCTGTCTGGAATGGGGAAGCTTGAGGAAAGGAAATAGGTTATCTTCTACATCACAGCTGATGAGTTAACCAGGTTATGTGATGGATCTAATCTTTAGACAAAAAATCTGAAGTTACATGAAGGATTTGTCTGTTTTCACGTGTGGATGTGGTAGGTTCGTTTTGTGGGAGGTTCGTTTTGTGGGAGGTTCGTTTTGTAGAGGGGAGTCCATGGTGGTCAGCCTCTGGAGCATAATGTGGACCCTGGCTTTGATGGGATCTTTATGTATCTGGTTAATGTCAGATGATATGGTAAAGTATAGTATAGTATGTAAAGAGCTGAATTAACCCTGCCACCGTTTTTATAGGTTCTGAGTAGGTCAGCTCAACGTTATGGCTGTTTTCCCAAATTTGTCAACATCCTTTTTCTGTTTCAGTTTTCAATGTACCAGTGCCTGCCATAGGTCACGCTCCATCAGCATATGAAATCCGCAAAACTTCACATTTGAGACAGTCTAACGATGCTTACGGCTATTTTAAAGGAGAGCCTTCAGGCTGGGATCCTACAATGATGTGTTGCGGGAGGCTTGGCTTGCTGTAACCACTAAGTTGCAATCAGATAGGAAACTTGTCATAATGAATCTTCAAAGCTTTTTTATACATGTAAATAGAAGACAACACAAGATTTTCAAAATTGTTGTTTTGTGTGGCAATATTCAGTTGCCGTGTACTATGATATATTAGCTGTACATGTTTGATGCTTCTGAATACAGCTGTCATAGATTTTATAATAAATATATACAGTATATCTTCCTGTTGCCGCTTCTTATTTTAAAGCCTGGTCAATGCACCAGGCATTCAAATTTCGAAGTGATATGACATGGGATTAAATGTCGCGTTCAAGATTATGTCGCTTGTATAGGGACGTGTATGCACGTGTGTGGGACTACTTCTGTAGTCGGTGCTTGACAAATTATATAGTGCTAGAACACTGAGATACCATGCAAGTTTAAAAGGATAGTCACTTAGACACAGTATACTGACTCCAGCCGACCAATCCTTGTTTTATCTCCTTTATGACAAGCACCAGGAAGGGTATGAACGATGCAACTTACTAAACGAAATACTGATGGTGCGAGGCACATTTGTGGTTTGAGAGCATACACTCACACATGTGAGTGAGTGAGTGAGTGGGATTTGGGGTGTGTGAGTTTCAGTGAGTTGGATGTAATGTTTTTAACAGTATTTCAGTTTATCATTGCATGTCAGCTTATGTGGGAGAAAAACCGAAATCTTAGATTTTGACAACTTTGTGAAACCAATGACCATGAGCAATATGCAGACATTGGATTCTGGCTTGCCTGAGGGACACAAAATAGAGAATTACCAGAACAATATTTGAGAGCACATGAAGACCTAGCCTCCAAATGAGTCTGATTATGGAGTACACAGCTTGAAGAACAGTGGGAACATCAGAACACACCAGGAATACTCTTCAATTGCTAAATATACACTGGTTACCAGCACATGGGTGTTTTTATGCATGTTTATAGAAGCATTTCAACACAAAACACCAACAATCACACATAAAGCCCGTCAGAATCTCTGAAATATTTTCAGATTGTTTGTTGTTTAACACTGCATTCAGTAATATTCCAGCTATATGACGGCGGTCTGTAAATAATCGAGTCTGGACCAGACAATCCAGTGATTGACATCATGAGCATCAATCCATGCAATTGGGATACGTGGCATGCATCAACAAAGTCAACGAGCGGCTCGTCACCTCTTACATCAAGCGCGGGTTGCTGAAGACCTATTCCACCCCAGGTCTTCACAGGTCCTGAAATATTTTCATATGGATGAATCAACTTAACTCATATCAGAGAAAACAGCTGTTTTATTTCTCAGATTGTGAGACGGTCTACCTGAAGAACTGGCTTTACATCGACAAAATAACAAAATATATTTCCTGTATTCAATCTATTTAAAGCACCTGCTTTGGTGGGAGTCTGATGTACAGTTGAACAGATCACAGCATCACACAGGACCATTGAGAACAAGGATGGTGGTACAGCAGGATATGTCAGCATGGGAAAATATAACAACTTTAACAAATCATGTAAAGTAACAACAATACATTAGCACACTTGCATTGGCTGCTTAAATACATGTCTTGTTTCTCATGACTGGCCTGCCCCTAAAAATGCCCCCACCAAAATATCTTTTTATTTGTTAAACGCTGTTGAAAGACTCAACTCAAGATTCTTATTTGTACTGGATTTCCACTCTTGCCCACTCTATGCCATTCCTGGTGTGTCCGATTCACACAAGAAATAGAGAATGAGTATGCGTTTATGCAGCTTCTAGCAATATTCCAGCAACATCACGGCAGGGCACACCAGAAATGGGCTTCACACATTGTTCCCATGTGGGGAATCAAATCTTGGCCTTTGGTGTGTGAGTGAATGCTTAAACACTAGGCTACGCCACTGCCCTTAAGGGGAAATAACCCATGGTGACCTCATCCATGTGGTCTTATATCATGAGGCACAGGGGTGCGGCCAAATAGGTCACAGGTCCAGGCAATTCAAGTTCACTAGTGACCTACTAAATAAAAAAAAAAAATAACACTAAAATTGAGGAGAGTCATCAGAAACAAGAATATATTTTATTGCCTTCCATGGAAATGAGAGAAAAAGGTTTTACAGAAATGAAATGGTAAACAAATCAAACATGCATATACAGTACATTATCTACCATCTAATTGGAAAAATAGAGATTCATTCACAGCTCAAAGGAGTCTGTTTTCAATATGTGCACATAGAATTCACCTAAGCTGAACTCATTTCAAAATCAGCTGTACATGGCCTTCATCATAAATAACTGAGCTAGATATTGACTGTCGTAAATAATCAACACAACATGAAACCATAATTCAAATTATTTCTTGAGGTTTTACATTCCTTGATATAGGCAATCCTTGATATGGGTAGCACTGTTGTAAATGATCACTTCAACTTGAAACATCAGAAATGTACTTGGATGAAAAGTTTACATGGATGTCAGTCCATATCAGGCATTGTATCTGTACTGCTGCAAACAAATGGACTCTCTTATCTTCTTGATGAAACCTTCCTTACCTGGACTTTCAACACTAACATCGTAAACAGACTTCACATCTGGTGTAAGAAGAAAAGGAGCAGTACTGCCATGTAATCAAATACTGTTTTCAAAGAAACTTATTATTATGTATTCATCAGAATTTGCACCGCAGTTTCAGAAAGTATATATATCCTCATTACTCCTGCAAATTATTCTAGTCAAATATGGTAGGAGTTTACCCTTGTGACAAAAAATGCCCTCGTAATCAATTTTCCAAACATCGTCTGTATCTTTTGGCGCAAGATACAAAATACACTGTTTAACATTACAACACAGATATGAGACGAAGTCAACATGCTGTACCTAGTTTACAGTACAAGCTGAAACAGGCATTGTATGCCTTGCATCAATAACCAGTGTTAATACAAATCACACGGTTTGAACACATGACGCATAACTGAAAAAATACACTGAGCTATACAGGTCAACCAATCTATAGGGATATAAATATTAGGATCTAGTTCTATGATAATGTATTTAAAAACAGGTACATACTACGTGTGGTCTGTAAGGCAATACCTGTGAGTACTTCATAAACCATCATCACAAGGTTTAACAATAGGATCATCAATAAATAAAACATCACCTTCAATTTGTTTTGTGAAAATATGTTCATCGTAACTGATTAATGTAAACAACAAATATAATATTTTCCTACAGACTGTTTTCAAACAACAAAACCAAAATTATTAGAAGAAACCTTAGAAAGGTACTTACAGGCTTTGATAACGTCATAGTTAGTGATCACTGCTTATATTGATAACCATAGAACTCTTAACTGAGTTGGTACATCTGCTTCTTAAGGCTTCACTATCTCAGCACATTTTATCCATGAAGTAAGTTAAGAGGAAGATGCTAGGGTATATATCACAATAGTCAACAGAGCAAGCTGGAATGATATATATGCTATATCTTAGAGAGCTGTAATTGGTTCCAACTGCCATCCTATGAGGTTACTACAGGTTTGGTCAGTACAGAAAACTACATGTCACCATGGCAACAGCAGTCTCCCAACAAACAATCTATCAAACATGATGAGATCCACAGCCTGCTGCTGGAGAATCTGACTGTGATAAACTCCATGGTCATCTGCCGGTCTGCTCCTCCACTCCCTAGTATTACACTCCCCCGCCACTCCTCTCCACTGGAATCTTCTCTCTTTCTGCGCTCTGCTCCGCTGCCATGGCTAGTCGTGAGTTGGACACCCGGCCACTCTTAAGAGCACTCATGAGCTACAACATAACAGGTCATCAGGTCATCAGCAACAACATTTCCTTAGTGATAGTTACCATTGGCCAGAAACTAATCATTATCATCATTATCCCCACTAGCATGGTATCATCCTATATCATACATCTCTACAGAAGAGGTCATCTCACTGTGGTAATCCAGCATGGAGTGAAGCTGACATTGGTCATACACAGAAACCAGTCTGTCAGAGACAAGGTAGAAAGTTGAAACAACAAGTAGGCGTGTCTGAAACTGTGCTGTTACAGAAACAACTGCCACCAAAAGACTTGGTTGTGCACGGATATATCAATATGTACAATACAAGATGTACATTTAGTGGAAAAGTTTACTTCTTCTGTTCTCCAGTCTATGGCTCAAAGATTGCCGTGGAAACATAAAATCTTAACTCATTCGCTTATTCCTATGTAAATTGCCAACATTAAGAATAAAATATATTTTGCTATTTATCAATTACTTTAAATCCTATTGACAAAAAAACCCAAACTAAAACCAACTCATAAAAGGAGAAAATCATGCGAAAAGAAACAAAACAGAAACTTTGGCTGTGGAAGGAAGGAAGTGAAAGAAGGAGGCGGAAGGAAGCCTGTGACAGTTGCATAGTAAAGCAATGCATACCAATAGGTTCTTAAAAGGGGAACCACGCTCCAAGCTTTCGGCCAGTATCCAACCTTTGTGAAGATGTTGTAAATTGTGTCAGACACAGACACTGTTTCTATGTGATTAGGGTACTCATTCACTGCTAGACTGATGCACATACACTTCTGTTTCCAGATAAACAAAACGGATTTTTGATGATCTGAATCAAATTTGCTAGGCCTGCCCACTGACTTAAGCCTGGTCCCCCTTTAATGCTTTGGTGTAGCTCACACTGGTCCAGCTTGGAGGTCACGGACGCCACAGCCTGCTGCTTGACTTTCAGCACACTAACAAGCTGGGAGAAAGCAAACAGAAGCTGGTAAGCAGGGAACGGATGGCACATATAACACAGGTCTGAATGTACAGGGCCTGACACAGCAAGGATGGCACATGACCTTTCTCTCTGACTCCACGAGGGGAACAATGTAGAATAATATATCTGGCATTAGTGACCTATCATGGAATCTCCGGCATGTGGCATTGGGGATGTAGTCTGCCATGGAGAGACAATCATGGGGCATTGGGGACCTAGTCTACCATGGTGAGACAAGCATGTGGCATTGGGGATGTAGTCTACCATGGTGAGACAAGCATGTGGCATTGGGGATGTAGTCTACCATGGGGAGACAAGCATGTGGCATTGGGGATGTAGTCTACCATGGGAGACAAGCATTGGGGACCTAGTCTACCATGGTGAGACAAGCATGTGGCATTGGGGATGTAGTCTACCATGGGGAAGACAAGCATGGGGCATTGGGGACGTAGTCTACCATGGGGAGACAATCATGGGGCATTGGGATCTATTATTTGGAATCTGCAAAGTTGGTCAGTACTGGAGGACTTGTGATCTGTTGTGCTGCGGAATCCTCCCAATTGACAATTATGTGGTAGTTGGGACCTATTAATCTCTGGCATGGCACACATCTAGGACATCTGAGGACAAGATCGAGGGCTGGTGTCTAATGGGGGGTGGATTGCCTTCCTTCCATGGACATATATTACACCTCCAGGATACATAGGTTCTTCCAGAACAAGGATAGCCTATTCCTCAAACATGAGGTACTGGGGACCTATTCTTCTCCAATATCCAAGGGAAACAATGGGCTAATAAGAATTCATTCTGCACTGGAATCCCCATGATTGGATTGTGGGAACTTATTCTGCCCTAGAATGCTGACAGGGAGACAACCTATGGAGCTATTCTGGTCCCAGGTCTGGTGCAAACAAAACAGGTAAAAGCAGGAAAAGAGGGTTTATCAATTTTATTTCCCTACAGTAACTAAATCATATTTCTGATGAAAAAGATAAAAAACAGATTATACACCTGAAACTAAAATAATTATACAAATAAAAAACTAAAAAAACTGTGAGAGCGCAATTTTTACTTTATGTACAAGTGATAATATTATTTCCTGATGGTCAGTTTTAAATGTTGAAGAAAGTCCCAAATGTGAACTTACATGAGGTTTATGTGATTTCCACTTTGGGAAAACCTATGAGCACAGGGCCACTGGTCAAATGTACCTCTGTCAGTAGTATCACTGATATCAAGTCCAGGGGACCGATTCTGACCTCAGACATGGTACCTCTAACTACTTTGAGGTATCAAATACATCATGTTCTGTGGACCTATTTTGACCCAAGACCAATGGCAACCAAAAGACAATGATTGATTTAAGAGTGACACCATACCATGATGGATCTGGAGGTAAAGCTCACAATATCATGACCGATTTGATAGCAAAACCCCAATGGATGATGTACCCTGATTGATTTAAGAATGAATCCCCAATAGGTAATGATTGAATTAAGAGTGAAATGCATGATACACCACAAAGACAAGTGTCAAAAGTGAAACCCTCACAGGCAATGATTGATTTCTGAGACAAATGAATGATGAACCAAGATTGATTTGAGAATGAAATCCCAATAGGTAATGATTGAATTAAGATTGAAATGCATGATACACCACAAAGACAAGTGTCAAAAGTGAAACCCTCACAGGCAATGATTGATTTCTGAGACAAACGAATGATGAACCAAGATTGATTTTAAGATAATGATTGATTTAAGATTGAATTGCATGATACACCACAAAGACAAGTGTCAAAAGTGAAACCCTCACAGGCAATGATTGATTTCTGAGACAAATGAATGATGAACCAAGATTGATTTTAAGATAATGATTGATTTAAGATTGAATTGCATGATACACCACAAAGACAAGTGTCAAAAGTGAAACCCTCACAGGCAATGATTGATTTCTGAGAGAAATGAATGATGAACCAAGATTGATTTTAAGATAATGATTGAATTAAGATTGAAATGCATGATACACCACGACAGACAAGTGTTGAAAGTAAAACCCTCGGTGAGGATGGAAACTACAGAAGGAGAGGCAAGTAATCTGGAACAATCGCGTTGTAAATGCAAACCACACCATCCTCCCTTACCTACCAAGGTTACCATGGCAACAAGTGTTTGTGCTTTTGTTTGTCTGTAACAAAAGGATATACTTATGACATGAGATATTTCTCATACCACTAGGGGTGTCTATTGAGGGCAGTTTTACACAGACGATTTCAATAGTTCGAGGCACTACTGAGACATTTGCAACTGGTACAACTATTCCAGATTCTGGTTCCATCGGGTTTGTAAATAACACCAATACAAAGTCAAAAATGACCTTGCTAACTTCTTATGTAGTGTCGCAGACATAGAGGTTATCACGCGAGTGTGTTTGGGGAAGCTAAATATCCTGCATTAGGAATAAACATTGTATTTAGCGAGCCTTGGTTAATTCTGACTCAATCGCCGAATGACGAGGGCGACGCCATGTTAGTATAAACAGCGAAAGTAGTCCTACTTGACCTTTGATATTTGCATCACTATCCGCATATGACCCAAACGGATATCGTTTTTATCCGTTGGCTTTATCCTGCCGAGGAACCTACCCATTATATGATAAACATATTTATCTTGACATTATCTGGTGACTCCACGACATCTGCTGTCTGAAGGAAGGGGTCTGTCCCTCAGTTCATACCTCACCCACATTTGCAAAAAATATCTGTGTGACCAGAGATTCAAGAACTGCTCCTCAAACCACGAAGGAAACGGACTTCATGCTGGTATTGTCCACATTAGGAACAAAACAAAAATCAATCCATGTGTACTACAACTATTTTTGTCATACTGACGGTGGTCATTACTAGATTTCTCCCTGCAACCATATAGCCTACTGCAGCACAGAGGCCTAGCCTCACACAAGACAGGGTGGGCGTTATAGGGTGGGCGTTATAGGGCTGTACAAGCATGGCTGCTCCAGCCACAACTAACATGGGAGGATGAGGACGGACACACAAGAAGTACAGTTGTTATTGAAGGCCAGTCTCAAGCTGGTGATAGAACACATGATCTAGGACATAGTATTTTTGGTCGTGGTCTAAGCTACAGATAAAGGGCAAGCCAATTCCATTGAAACACCTGAGGTGCATACCTAAGTTTGGCAACCTTACTTGACAGGCTACCTTGCAAACTATCGACTGGCATTTCCTTGTTTCATCATGATCATCATTTAGTTTCTTTGAAAAGAATGAAAATATCCTGGCTTGCTGTATCATAACGATGACAGCTCGGCCATCATGGCCATGCTTTGCCAATGTCATTGAAAAATGCATCTTGAAAATGATTGGCTACTGCTTGTGATATGGACCTTTCACCAAGTTCAATACATAATGTTTTGGTACAGAAACCTCACTGCATTTCATTGTGCATAAATTTTGCCTCTACAGTGTGCAGAGCACAGAACAGTGACACCCAAGCCTCACAGAGACAACTCTAACCATGTCTACTGCTAGGCAGTATGTGTGGGAGCAGGATTTGGACGTTTTCAACATTTGTACATATGTATACTATTGAGTGGTGGGATTGAGACCTTGAACATTTCAATGTGTCTCAAGAAGCAGCTGTATTAGTGAACATCTGGCTAGAGAACACCTCTAAGATTAAACACCTGGCCAGTGAACACCTCTAAGATTGAACACCTGGCCAGTGAACACTTCAGAGATTGAACACCTGGTCAGTGAACACCTCTGAGATTGAACACCTGGCCAGTGAACACCTCTGAGATTGAACACCTGGTCAGTGAACACCTCTGAGATTGAACACCTGGTCAGTGAACACCTCTGAGATTGAACACCTGGCCAGTGAACACCTCAGAGATTGAACACCTGGTCAGTGAACACCTCTGAGATTGAACACCTGGCCAGTGAACACCTCTGAGATTGAACACCTGGTCAGTGAACACCTCTGAGATTGAACACCTGGTCAGTGAACACCTCTGAGATTGAACACCTGGCCAGTGAACACCTCTGAGATTGAACACCTGGCCAGTGAACACCTCTGAGATTGAACATCTGGCCAGTGAACACATTTCAGATTGAGCACCAGTCAACACCTCAAAGAGTGAACACCTGATCAGTAAACACCTCTGATAAGGATAGTGAGGGAGTTGCTTATCTAAACAGTATTTTTCAGAGAATCATGTAGGAGCGGAGCCTGAAGTGATGCAGATTGTGGACTTTAAGGACACGTGCGCTGGACCTCTCAGAAAGGAAACCTCCGACAATGTAACAGTCATTTAACTGGACTGGCTTAGAGGTTGATATTCGGCTCCAAGTCGAAGTGGAAATAAACATTTTCCAAGACACAGTGAACATCTGATCTGAGATGATTGTCAAAAAGAAAACACCTGTTCTGAGCTGTTTACCTGACAAAGTGAACATGTGCTCTGTTTCATTTACCCGACAATGTGAACACCTGTTCTAAGCAGATTACCCGACAATGTGAACACCTGTTCTGAGATGATTGCCAGGCATAAATATAAACCCTTCCTCCAGGAAGAGCGGATTGTACATACAAACTGACGAAACCACAAGCCCTCTTACCTGGAGGTACTCGCCAAGGTCAACTTGAGCATTCTTGTTGAGGTCGACTTCACTGAGAATGTCATGAAGCTGATCTTCAGTCACTCTTTCTCCAATTTTCTGCAAGAGACAACATGCCGGTTACAATGCAGCGTTCCACACAGTACAAACATGTCTATGAGAGGATGAAGACTTGAGACATAATAGTTATTCCTCAAATTTCATCTGAAAATGGAAAATCTAGTAAATCTATTTCAAGGTAGTTTTAATGATTTAAATTTCTTCACAAATTCTGTAGGTGGTTAACCAAAAGTTCAATTTTATCAAATAAGGTGCATATAATTATTGAAAATTTCATGACTTAAAGAATCTCATTTGAATTTCAAAACAATGGATCCAAATGGACAGAAAATATCAGTTTTAGTTCCTCCACTGTTCAAGCAGACTACGATGACGGTTGGTCATGTTAATATCTACATCTATATAGTTGTTATAACAACATACAGGTATCAATGAAGCGAGTTTAACACATCATTTCTGTCTATGCAAAATGTTAGAAACAGGCTACTTGAACACAAACCCATCTTGCAAGTTAGACTTGAGCGAATGTGTTAATGACATGTACAAAGTATATGACATACTGCTCTACAGCATCAATGTTCAATGAGGAGATAAGGCCACAATAAATGAATTATTAGATTTTCATCCAAATTTTAAAATGTGAGCCAAGAGGACTTTATTTTTATTTTTAAACAAACTGTTGAAGGCATCTGTGTACATCAAGTGTGACCAGGTGAGTGAGTGAGTGAGTGAGTGGGGTTTAACGCCGCTTTTAACAGTATTCCAGTTATATCGCGGCGTGTCAGCTTAATGTTGGAGGAAAGCCCCAAGTGATGCAAGTCTCGGACGTTTACCACTTCGGTGAAACCCACGAGCATGGGTATGGTGCTAACAAACCTAGAAACAAAATCGGGGCGAACCGGGATTCGAACCCACAATCATAGGTTTCTGGTGTGCCCAAGGGACGCAACACTGCACAGCAAATCGCGGCGCCTTAGATGACTGGGCCACCTGTGCCCCCGTCACCAGGTGAGATTCGCATGAAGTGTGAATGTTTGGTGGGACTATGGTGTATACAACATGGCATGACAGATTAACCATAGTAATAGGAAAGAATCGGGTGGTCCTCAACTATTTTTGAGCAATATATTGAATCAAATAAAGGAATAAAGGAACACACCGATGTCTTTGTCTGGAGGTCCTTAGGGACCATTGAATTATGTGAGGTTGGTGATTCTTATAGAGATGAAAGTCTAATAATATATTTATTTATGGCCTTAGCTAGATGATTTATGGTCACTGAGTGAGTGAGTGAGTGAGTGAGTGAGTGAATGTTGTTTCCATCCAGCTATGACAGAGTCTTGCAAGTAATCAAGTCAATGGATGACATCATGAGTGAGGGGTTGCACTGTCAGGGTACAATCACACACAATCAGCCAGGTCATTCACCGGAACCAACTGTCAGCTCTTACAGCATGCAAACTGGGACGTATTTTGTCATGGATTCCCACAGACTTGGGTCATGCATCGATCCATCATGGAGTCAGCTGTCATTCAGCTACAGTCCTCTGTGTCTGGTGATCTTGTGTACAGCAGTCTGTGTGAAGTGATGAACCCAGGTGTGGAGGTGATGAGGTGTTAGGAGTACGATACCACAATAAAATAAAAGTCAAAGAATAAGAGTACACAGTCATAGCATTGGGCAGGTTATTTTTTTTCTTATAGACCCATATTTTCACAAATGTAGAATAGAATTAGAATTTTTTGGTCCTATGTTTTTATCAATTTTCAGTATTTCCTACGAACAATACTCTCAAGAAAGTCATTATACTATACTATGTTCTTGTAGTCATTCCTAGAGTCCTTCCATGCTGATGACCCATCCAAGTACTAGATCTGATCACCCATCCAAGCACTAGCTATGATGATCACCCATCCAAGTACTAGCTCTGATGATCACCCATCCAAGTACGAGCCCTGATCACCCATCCAAGCACTAGCTCTGATGATCATCCATCCAAGTACTAGCTCTGATGATCACCCATCCAAGTACTAGCGCTGATCACCCATCCAAGCATTAGCTCTGATGATCACCCATCCAGGTACTAGCTCTGATGATCACACATCCAGGTACTAGCTCTGATCATCCATCCAAGTACTAGCTCTGATGATCACCCATCCAAGTACGAGCCCTGATCACCCATCCAAGCACTAGCTCTGATGATCACCCATCCAGGTACTAGCTCTGATGATCACCCATCCAAGTACTAGCTCTGATCACCCATCCAAGTACTAGCCCTGATCACACATCCAAGTACTAGCTCTGATGATCACCCATCCAAGTCCTAGCTCTGATGATCACCCATCCAAGTCCTAGCTCTGATGATCACCCATCCAAGTACGAGCTCTGATCACACATCCAAGCACTAGCCCTGATCACAAATCCAAGTACTAGCTCTGATGATCACACATCCAAGTACTAGCTCTGATGATCACCCATTCAAGCACGAGCTCTGATCACCCATCCAAGTACTAGCCCTGATCACACATCCAAGTATGAGCTTTGATAACCCATCCAAGTACTAGCTCTGATCACCCATCCAAGTACTAGCTCTAATCACACATCCAAGTACTAGCTCTGATCACACATCCAAGTACTAGCTCTGATCACACATTCAAGTACTAGCTCTGATGATCACCCATCCAAGTACTAGCTCTGATCACCCATCCAAGTACTAGCTTTGATCAGCAATCAAAGTACAAGCTCTGATGATCACACATCCAAGTATTAGCTCTGATCACCTATCCAAGTACGAGCCCTGATCACCCATCCAAGTACTAGCTCTGATGATCACCCATCCAAGTCCTAGCTCTGATGATCACCCATCCAAGTACTAGCTCTGATCACCCATCCAAGTACTAGCTCTGATGATCACCCATCCAAGTACTAGGTCTGATGATCACCCATCCAAGTCCTAGCTCTGATGATCACCCATCCAAGTCCTAGCTCTGATGATCACCCATCCAAGTACGAGCTCTGATCACACATCCAAGTACTAGCTCTGATGATCAACCATCCAAGTACTAGCTCTGATGATCACCCATCCAAATCCTAGCTCTGATGATCACCCATCCAAGTACTAGCTCTGATCACCCATCCAAGTACTAGCTCTGATAATCACCCATCCAAGTACTAGCTCTGATCACCCATCCAAGTACTAGCTCTGATGATCACCCATCCAAGTACTAGCTCTGATGATCACCCATCCAAGTCCTAGCTCTGATGATCACCCATCCAAGTCCTAGCTCTGATGATCACCCATCCAAGTACGAGCTCTGATCACACATCCAAGTACTAGCTCTGATGATCACCCATCCAAGTACTAGCTCTGATGATCACCCATCCAAATCCTAGCTCTGATGATCACCCATCCAAGTACTAGCTCTGATCACCCATCCAAGTACTAGCTCTGATGATCACACATCCAAGTATTAGCTCTGATCACCCATCCAAGTACGAGCCCTGATCACCCATCCAAGTCCTAGCTCTGTTGATCACCCATCCAAGCACTAGCTCTGATGATCACCCATCCACGTACTAGCTCTGATGATCAGGCATCTAAGTCCTAGCTCTGATGATCAGGCATCCAAGTCCTAGTTCTGATTGTCACCCATCCAAGGACTAGCTCTGATGATCAGGCATCCAAGTACTAGCCCTGATGATCAGGCATCCAAGTACTAGCTCTGATGATCAGGCATCCAAGTCCTAGCACTGATGATCACCCATCCATGCACTAGCTAACGTGTTCAGTCATTGCATCTGTCCAATCCTCTCATGACATTCTCAACTACTCGGCCACATAAAAATCCTGTGCTGGCCAACAGACGTTTTGACAATAAATGGACTTTGACAGACTTATCACTACAATGTGCATAAAGACTTAACATGATTAAGGATTAAAGAAAGGAATAAGATAACTTCACGGCATTTTTTTTTCTGAAACACTGTCGTGTGGGTTTTGGAGGAATTTATCTGGTGAAGTGAAGTAAAATGAAATGAATCAGATTTTCAAGTGGTCTGCCATATGTCTGGTACACGGATGCAGGATCAACAAAGCGTGTTTGAATCTGGAGCAGTGAAATCATTGCTCCGACAGCAGCAATCTCCTCACAGAAATACAGCCATGTAAGCAGTCATTGTAGTCAGACTAGTCTCCCTGCACCACCTTGAAGGCCCACTGTGTCTCAGGTTCCGGGTTAGGTGAAGCTTACTGTGATATGCTGAAGCCTATTGGTCTATTGTTAGTTTATAACAGTAAATCTTCCCAATATCATTTTTGCCACTAAAAGTGAATATTTGAGAATATTAATAATATTCTGAAGTCAAGAATTCATTTGTGTCATACATTGAAACACGATGTCCGTATTCTACTGAAATGAACTCATACCAGATGACAACTAGCAAGAGTAGCATGAAGGCTCCGTAGCTCACCAGGTACATTCACGTGAACAGAGGTTATAGGAAGGGAAATCTTCAGCTGCGAAGTAGGGGAAGTGTTGCTGTTTAAGGATTCAAAAGGTTTTTATCATATGGTTTGAACTGGAGACAGTATGATCAGGTGGTTTGAATGTGTCATGTTGCATGTTTGATGTGAAGAGAGAGTATGATCAGATGGTTTGAATGTGTCATGTTGCATGTTTGATGTGAAGAGAGAGTATGATCAGATGGTTTGAATGTGTCATGTTGCATGTTTGATGTGAAGAGAGAGTATGATCATATGGTTTGAATGTGTCATGTTGCATGTTTGATGTGAAGAGAGAGTATGATCATATGGTTTGAATGTGTCATGTTGCATGTTTGATGTGAAGAGAGAGTATGATCAGATGGTTTGAATGTGTCATGTTGCATGTTTGATGTGAAGAGAGAGTATGATCATATGGTTTGAATGTGTCATGTTGCATGTTTGATGTGAAGAGAGAGTATGATCAGATGGTTTGAATGTGTCATGTTGCATGTTTGATGTGAAGAGAGAGTATGATCATATGGTTTGAATGTGTCATGTTGCATGTTTGATGGGAAGAGAGAGTATGATCAGATGGTTTGAATGTGTCATGTTGCATGTTTGATGTCAAGAGAGAGTATGATCATATGGTTTGAATGTGTCATGTTGCATGTTTGATGTGAAGAGAGAGTATGATCATATGGTTTGAATGTGTCATGTTGCATGTTTGATGTGAAGAGAGAGTATGATCATATGGTTTGAATGTGTCATGTTGCATGTTTGATGTGAAGAGAGAGTATGATCATATGTTTTGAATGTGTCATGTTGCATGTTTGATGTGAAGAGAGAGTATGATCAGATGGTTTGAATGTGTCATGTTGCATGTTTGATGTGAAGAGAGAGTATGATCAGATGGTTTGAATGTGTCATGTTGCATGTTTGATGTGAAGAGAGAGTATGATCATATGGTTTGAATGTGTCATGTTGCATGTTTGATGTGAAGAGAGAGTATGATCAGATGGTTTGAATGTGTCATGTTGCATGTTTGATGTGAAGAGAGAGTATGATCAGATGGTTTGAATGTGTCATGTTGCATGTTTGATGTGAAGAGAGAGTATGATCAGATGGTTTGAATGTGTCATGTTGCATGTTTGATGTGAAGAGAGAGTATGATCATATGGTTTGAATGTGTCATGTTGCATGTTTGATGTCAAGAGAGAGTATGATCAGATGGTTTGAATGTGTCATGTTGCATGTTTGATGTGAAGAGAGAGTATGATCATATGGTTTGAATGTGTCATGTTGCATGTTTGATGTCAAGAGAGAGTATGATCAGATGGTTTGAATGTGTCATGTTGCATGTTTGATGTGAAGAGAGAGTATGATCATATGGTTTGAATGTGTAATGTGAAATGTCTGATGGGTGGAGGCAGAATAATCTCAAAACATACTTTTCTGAATTCTTTAAATAATATTATTTTACAAACATCAATAATTGTATAATAATTTCCTACATGGAAGACATTTTGTTTTAGTAACACTATCCACATTTTTCTCACAAGATTATGTCCATCTATTTTCGACGATTTCAACAGTATTTTTCCAAACCGAAAGAAAAGTAAATTTTAGTGCAAGAAATCCTAATCAAATCCAGGTGACAAATTCATTCTTATTTTCACAAGTCAGCTAAATTGATCTTCAGTTGTCATCTAATTTAAAGTAAAAGTAGAGGGACCACCTCCGTGGTCTAGTGGTAGAGCGTCAGCCTGGAGAGTGGAAGGTCACGATTCGAACCCCAGTCACTTCATACCAAAAGACGTCTGAAGATGATACTAGTACACGCACGCTGCTATATGAGTGGAATAATCCTGAACATGACGTTAAACCCCATTTCACCTCACCTAAAAGTGAAGGCAATGTCACTAGTTCAAGTTGTCATAGCTGGTAAATATAACCTCTCGCAGTCTGCCAACCCTTACCAAGACTGTAACATGATTGAAACTCAATGATGATGTTCATCACGAGCAAACTGGATATTCTTTTAAAAGGGCACTTTGCAAAAACATTTCATTGCAGTAGGTAACATTCTTTATCGCTGGAATGGCTTGTTTTCACTTTATAAGTACCAGAACAGCAAGAAGCTATCTTTGTTAATTAATCATTGCCATATGTTGTGAATCTATCGCAAGTGGTGAGGACAATAGTTGCTGACTTATGTGAACTTCCAACTCTGTAACATAATCTCAGAATCAGCCAAGTCAGAGAAGGAATAAACAATAATGGACAAAGGGCGAAAGGCCCCAGACAATTCACCATACTATAAATCACCCTGACCTTTGGTCCTGGAGATCTGAACACCAGGTAGGTGAGAACGAATGTAATCAAGCAGTGTTGTGGATTCAATTTGTTCAAAAGATGCCGAGTCAGCAGAAATGCACCACAAAAGTTTACCAGGTATGTAAACATCCAATAACACCCAAATAAAATAAACGCTCCATGAAGACAGAGACAAAGTGAGTGCTTTCAAGACAAGCTAAATAATAAAATCAGTGGTGATTTTTCAAAATGTTTTTCAAGAAAATACTGCATTTGAAGAAAAGGATTGAAAGTGTTCAAATCTACCCATCTCTACATGAGTGCTTTCAAGACAAGCTAAATAATAAAATCAGTGGTGATTTTTCAAAATGTTTTTCAAGAAAATACTGCATTTGAAGAAAAGGATTGAAAGTGTTCAAATCTACCCATCTCTACGTGAGTGTGCAATGAAGCAGGTTAGACAGAACACCAGGTGTTAAGCCACTGTGCTAGGGCAGAAGGTCTACTTGGTCTAGGACTGAATTCTTGACAACACCACTGGAAGCTAACAGGAAGCAGCAGCACATGAACAAACCTCACTTTCAAAATAGGCAAGTTTCTGTCAAAAGAATACAAGAATGTGTCACAGACGAGAATATACAAACATTAGGTTGATGGTGTAGTTATGTGGATGAGGGAGTCGGAACTATCAAACAATTCCTCTTTTGATATTATTACTTACCTCTCATTTCATTGTATGATTTTGGATGAAGTATTTAAGGTAACAAATAAGATATATCTTTCCAGTTTTGTTTCTTACTGTGAGGTAGGGAGTGTTTTGTGATGCTTTTAGCAATATTCCAGCCATATCAAAGAGACATAAAGAATGGACTTGACACACTGGGGCATTGAACCAGTGTCTTCTGTGTGACAGGTAACCACTTTAACCACTAGGCTACTGCCCCTCAAAAAGGAAGGTCTTCATATATTGTACCCACATGGGGATTTGAACCCAGATCTTCCGTGTGACAAGTGACCACTTTAACCACTAGGCTACTGCCCCTCAAAAATACAGGTCTTCATATATTGTACAGTCGTGTGGAATTGAACCCAGATCTTCCGTGTGACAAGTGAACACTTTTACCACTAAGCTACTGTCCCACACGAAGAAAGGTCTTCACATACTGTACCCACTTCGGGAATCGAACCAGTGCCTTCCTGTGCCAAGTGACCACTTTAACCACTAGGCTACCACTCAACCTGTTCTGGATCGGAAACTAAGAAGACAGTTGTTGACAAGTTGGAGTAACCGGCTGAGCTACTAACAGCCATGTCCTAAAGTACACATATGCCAACAAAACCTGCCCTCTTCTTGCTAGCAGACAGTGGTGGTAGACATGATCCATTGCATCATATGACAATCCATATCATGACTTTCTTCATGTTTCCTTGAATGTAACAATGGTTAGATATTACTTCTCCATTGAAGTTTTGAGATGATAATGAATTAATACCAGTTGGCATGTAGACCTTTTGTCAATAATCCAAGTATCTACATTTTCCTAGTTCTTTAAGAGTGAGTTAGTGAGTGAGTTTCTGTTTAACGCCGCTTTTAACAGTATTCCAGTTATATCACGGCGTGTCAGCTTAATGTGGGAGGAAAGCCTGAAGTGATGCAGGCCTCAGACGTTTACCACTTCGGTGAAACCCACAAGCACGGGTATGGTGCTGACAAACCTAGAAACATAATCGGGGCGAACCAGGATTCGAACCCACAAGGGACGCAACTCTGCACAGCGAATCGTGGCCCCTTAGACGACTTGGCCACCCGTGCCCCTAGTTCTTTAAGAGTATATTAATATCCTGATATACTTGACAACAGGACAGCAACTTATCCATGATAAGAGGAATATATTCACTCACTTACTAAAATCAAAGCACTCAGAGCACTTGTAAAATGCTTCAGACTGATGCTTCAGTGTGTGAAAGCTTCCTGAATACACAAGTGAGGCAGTTCTGAGTGTGTGATTTGGACTTTTTCATTGGCTTTGTTTACATAACACACTCTGATATTTGGGTCATATTTTTCTGGGTGTTTCTAAAACATGCATCATCGCCATTTTGAAGGGTTTTGCTATATGTTATCATCATAAGGACTAGTGGACGATGACTGATAGTTACTACCGCTGTTGCATGAAACAATTTCCGAGTGTGATGTCGCAGCTTTAGTTCATGTACAATTAAATTCTCATACCAAAACAATAGAGCTCTGCCGCTTGATTGGATTAGAAAACTATGTTTATCAAAGCCTAGATTACAAGATAATTTCTTGGTCCTATGAAGTGAAACAAGGCAGAGTATTCTCTGAGAAGTAGAGTTTCCAACCTGCTAACGAGTCGACTCTTGCAATGTGGTCACTAAAGCAGGTGGTGGTTTTGGCTATTGTTTGCAAACAATGCCTCAGACTGGTTGACCTTTAGCCTGCTGGATTCACTTCAGCATAGTAAACTAGCTCATCAGTATTTTAACCTAAACAGTCTGTTGCATTCACTTCTGCATAAGGCAAAGTGAACTAGCTAATCAGTATTTTAACCTTTAGTCTGCTGGTTTCACTTCAGCATAAGGCAAAGTGAACTAGCTCATCAGTATTTTAACCTAAACAGTCTGTTGCATTCACTTCAGCATAAGGCAAAGTGAACTAGCTAATCAGTATTTTAACCTTTAGTCTGCTGGTTTCCCTTCAGCATAAGGCAAAGTGAACTAGCTCATCAGTATTTTAACCTAAACAGTCTGTTGCATTCACTTCTGCATAAGGCAAAGTGAACTAGCTCATCAGTATTTTAACCTAAACAGTCTGTTGCATTCACTTCTGCATAAGGCAAAGTGAACTAGCTAATCAGTATTTTAACCTTTAGTCTGCTGGTTTCACTTCAGCATAAGGCAAAGTGAACTAGCTCATCAGTATTTTAACCTAAACAGTCTGTTGCATTCACTTCAGCATAAGGCAAAGTGAACTAGCTAATAAGTATTTTAACCTTTAGTCTGCTGGTTTCACTTCAGCATAAGGCAAAGTGAACTAGCTAATCAGTATTTTAACCTAAACAGTCTGCTGGCATTTTATCCTGATGACACCAAAGCATAGTAATAACATTTTTAAAGGTATTTTAATATATTATTACATATAGTCTGAAATTTGTTGTCAAAAAGCGCATGTGTTCATTTTGTTTCACTAACTGATATGAACCAATTGATTTGTGTCTCTAGCAAATGATTTGATCATCTCCCACTTCTGTACAGGAGTCAGGGCTGCTGAGTTTGTACACTGTTTGTCCTACCACACAGTGCATCTGTAAATCTTCACATCTCCAAGACACAACTCTCACATACTGCATGGCACTGAGAGTCAAAACTGCAAGACAGCCATTTCCTGGGTTGTCATTTAAAGCATGGTGAACAGAAGTACATTTAGCTGTGTGGTACTGCAGAAGTGTACAAGAACTCACAAGTCCTTCACTATACATACTTGCTGTCAACACACATACTGGCTGTCTTGAAACAGAAACATGGCAGAGTGTATTGAGTTGAAGTTCCTTGGCATTTCCGACATATAAACAATTGTGCAAATGATATCTACATAGAAGAACTGTTTCCAAGCTGTCAAGCCCATGTACTGGTGAAAACAACACTGACTTTAGTTATAATCACATCAAGATTCCAGGCAAATGTATTCATTGTGAATAAAATATATGTAGCACTAGCTTTATAAATGTTATCAACAAAACACTCTACAATAAGACATTTACTATTGTAAATAATCTACAAAATATGGACATAACATTCCATTGTTAATTTTCAACATTAAGTGAAACACATGAAGGTAAAAATATCTTAAGGATGACAAGTTCTTTTATTTCCCAAGCTTCCAGATGGACAATAAACCAATCTGCTCTTAAACACCATTGAAACATAATAAAGAAATTGTCACCCATACAAGATTGATGTCCATATGTTATCAACTTCTAAATGACAGTCCAAGACTTGCCTTAGTCCACAAGACAACATGAACTCACGACATCATGGACAATGCAACAAGACGCGGATCTCACCTTGAAGTATCTACGCAGGTCATTGATGGTGATGTAGCCCTTGTTGTCATAGTCCAGGCCCTTGAATCTCTTCACGTACATGTTGATTTCATCCTTGGTGAAGTTAATCGGAGCCTGCATTTCCGAGGCCTTTTTAATGTCGAGACCCATCTCCCTGCGGAGGAAGCGCTTTGCTCTCTCCGTCTCCTCCTAAACAAACATGTACATGTTCACAGCGTGTGCAGACGTACTGAGCAACACGCAAGCTGCTCACTTGTCTATCAAGATATTCATCAGGCCTTCATAATATCTGAACCCATAGTTGATGACATAATGAAGTCTCTCAATGTTTAATCAGGGTAAATACATGGGTATACAGAAGTATGTAAAGCAAGAAGTGATCAATAAGCTATACAATACATGGGACATTATGGCACATTTTGAGGGTGCTATCTATTTATACTTTTTTCGAAAGTGTACTCCAGGAAACACACAACGTGCTGTACCCATACTGAAACATGGAGAATACCTCCAAATGAAATCACCAGGATCATAGGGTATATAATGCCCCTTTGTTTAGATGGCGACATTCTCAACAGTAGCCCTGCGGGACTAATGCACAGAATTGAGTAAGTGAGTTGGGTTTAACGCTGCTTTTAACAGTATTCCAGTTATATTGCGGCGTGGCAGCTTAATATGGGAGGAAAGCCCCAAGTGATGCAGGTCTCAGACGTTTACCACTTCGGTGAAACCCACGAGCACGGGTATGGTGCTGACAAACCTAGAAACATAATCGGGGCGAACCAGGATTCGAACCCACAATCATAGGTTTCTGGCGTGCCCAAGGGACACAACTCTGCACAGCGAATCGCGGCACCTTAGACGACTTGGCCACCCGTGCCCCGCTAATGCACAGAAAGCCTGGTAGTTGTAAAGATTAATAGCTAAGCTGGATTCAAACAAAGCTCTGCAGCAACAAACCTTCTGTTTTGTTTTATTCCACTTTAGTTCTTCAGCCATGATTTCGATGATGCGTGGCAGGGCCTCCTCCGCTGCGTGGACGTTGCAGAATGCCAGACGAGTACGTCGTGCCAAAACATCTATTGCTGAACAGGCATATTCCCGCACAGCGTACTTTACCTGTCAGAGAGTAGCATCATTTCGTGAGTGAGTGAGTGAGTGGGTGGGTTTTATTTTATGCCACATCAGCAATATACTAGCCATATGACGGCAGACATCCTGGGCTTCATACATTGTACTCATGCTGGTGTTAACGCACATTGAACTGATCAACACTGTCCATATGACAGGGACTAGAGAGACACAATACTGCTGGGGTCGAAAATTTATTCCTGTGTCAGAATATTGAAGGTCCCAAATACTATGCCCCATCCTTGATGTGAGATCAAAGAAATTGCTTTTGGATATGAAAAAACATCCAGTGTTTTGTGTGTTCCAGGTTTGATGACCTTGCTGTGACATAAACTGCCAACATTGGAAAACAACATATAATACAAGGCCATGCACAAACAATGTCTGATTGGTTACCTTGGCCTCTCATTATGAAACAACAACTTCTGATTGGTTAACCTGCCTAACATCATACATCAAAAACTTCTGATTAGTTAACTGTTCTCAATGCATGCATTGCCAACTTCTGTGTGGTTAACCTGCCTCACACCTTGCTTGAATAATTTGATTGTTTAACCAGCCTCACACCAGATATAAATGACTTCTGATTGGTTAACCAGCCTCACACCAGACAACAACTTCTGATTGGTTAACCAGCCTCACACCAGACATCAACAACTTCTGATTGGTTAACCAGCCTCACACCAGACATCAACAATTTCTGATTGGTTAACCAGCCTCACACCAGACATAAACAACTTTTGATTGGTTAACCAGCCTCACACCAGACATAAACAACTTCTGATTGGTTAATCAGCCTCACATCCTATATCAACAACTTCTGATGGTTACCTCGGCCTCTGTATACGGGTATTCCTCTGATAATCTCCTCCCCACAATCGGCCACCGCCGTCCTGTCAGGTTGGCAAGCTTGGCCACTTTAAATGCCTTGTCTCCATATGTGTTGGCAAGATGCTGAGCAACCTGGAGACAACAGACATTAGCTCTCCTTTCATCTACTTCTTGACTGTGTGTAGTCAATATTTAACAACCAATTGACCACTAAGACTACATATCTCATCTGATCAGACTTTGGAGTCATTACTTTCAGTAGCAGGTACAGTGTCAGTATATGGACTATTATTATCTGAGCTTACTAAATTTTGGACAAGCGGCTAAAGAAATTACATGCTCCTGTTTATGGTAACATCTTTGTACAAGTGAGGTGAGGTGAAATGGGGTTTAACGTTGCGTCCAAGATTATTGCACTTATATAGCGACGTGCATGTACGTGTGTGTGTTTGTGTGGCTGCTTGTACTAGTCCGGACTGATGCCGATTTATAGTGCTAGCTCACTGAGATACCATGCCGCAGTTTAACATGAATACCCCACTCAGACACAGTATACTGACCAGTCCTTGTTTTAGTCCCTTAATGCCAAGCGCCAGACAGGGCAACAACAAGTACCATCTTTTAATGTTTTAATCGAACCCCGGACCTTCCTCTCTCCGGGCGGACGCTCTACCACTAGACCACGGAGGCGGTCCATCTTTGTACAAATACATACATTCAACTAATACATTTCCCAACAGTGTTTCACACCAACTAATACCTTACATCTCTAACGGTTAACTTAATCACAACCCTTACTTCATTTTCCAGACCAAAGTCCTGGACGAGTCTGATGAAGAGTGTGGGCGTGAAGCCATGAGATCCCTCCACCATCAGACCCTGTGTGCGGCAGCCCGAGGTGGGTGTCAGGCCACACACCTCCACAGCCTTGTCAATGGTCTCCTGCGCCATGTGACGATACGTCGTCCATTTCCCTCCTGGAGCACACAGAGAAAGAGTGAGTGAGTGAGTATCAGCATCTCACTTACATCACAGCATGGCCGCTTAATGTGAGAGGAAAGTCCTAAGTCATACAAGTCTTACACGTTTATCACTTTAGTGAAACCCATGAGCACGGGTATGGTGCTGACAAACCAAGAATCATAGTCAAGTTAATTTTGTGATTCAAACCCATGCCAAAGGGATTTTAGTGAGTGAGTTTGGTTTACGCCACTTTTAGCAATATTCCGGCAATATCACGGTGGGGGACACCAGAAGTGGGCTTCACACGTCTACCCGTGTGGGGAATGGACCCAGGTCTTCGGTGTGACGAGTGAATGCTGTAACCACTAGGCCACCACAGCGCCCCCAACTCGGTTCAGTCTTAGATGACCTGGCCATGTGTCTCATAACAAGCTTGGGGTACAGGAGATTTATCTGTACCGCATCCCATTCCAGAAAGTCATCTCAGAGCTCCGACTATCATAATCTTGTGTTAAAGTATGGAAGTTATGACCATCTTAGCGCCGATATTGCCTTATGGAATGGGGCCTTGGAGCCATGAAAGAATCAGTCTCAGACATGATGTATAAATAACATTACACAGTAGCCAGAAAGGCAGCTTTTGCTGCACTCCGTAACCTGATGTACCACCTGATGCCAGTTTCAGCAGCTCCATGCCATAACAGTGGGGAATCAGGATCCTGTTACTGTGCAGTCAGGTTGATACCTCTTTAATGAGGGTCCGGGCTGATGCGAGTTTAAGTAGCCTTACACTGTAAGGGTATCAGGGTCTGTTATGTCCCAGTCATGGTAATACCTCTTTAATGAGGGTCCTGGCTGAAGCTAGTTTCAGCAATAACGATGAGGCATCAAGGTCCTGTTATGTCCTAGTCAGGATACCTCTTAAATGAGGGTCCAGGCTTCTCTGAAGCGTCACGTACCTGCTATTGTTATAAGATGATCAGAAGCGACTTCTATAATGTGGTTTCTAGCAATGGATTGAGTATCAGATTTGTTTGGGTCAGCTACAAGTGGCCTCAGGCCACTCCAGGCAGACAACACATCTCCTCTCCGCACTGGAAAACACAAGAAGTCACACAACAGGGATAAACAGACTCCCTTCTTATGTGAAACTTATCACAGTCTTTAATAAAATAGAACCCAAGTTAATTTTGGATTGCATGTTATGGCAATATGCTTCAGTTCTAATATAAAGTTCCAGTTGGTTTGAACCCTTGACATAATGTTACATTCATGATTTCAATAATTTAAATAAATATCAATGGGGATTGTTCACTAGTGGGCACTTATAAGAGCGGGGTGCTCATTACGTCGAATACAGTAAGTCTATCCATACAGACAAACTGTGACATTAGCTCTTTTAGTCCTATTTGCATGTCAGGTCTTATGTAAGTGGACAGGTTACTAGCAGACCAAGTTGCTGTTCTACAGTGATCTACAGTGTTAGAAGCATTTACAAATATATATTGTAACACTTATCTGTTTCACAGAATCAGCCAATCTCACCTTCAACATCTGGATTCAAATAATTCCTGATCTCATTAAGTATGAACTGAATCTCTTTCTCTGTGGGTTGTGGGTAGTCCGTGACATCACACGGGCTGTCCGTCGTACCTGGCACAGCAGACAACATACACTACACATCATGCAAAACAACAGCCCAATAGCATTGTCTGAAGGCATCACAAATTACTGTGTCCATAAAAATGAATTGCAATTGGTAAATATTCCCAGAATTTCTTACATTATTTTAGGAATAGATTAGAGGACATTTAGGAATAGATTAGAGAACAATCAACAATTGAGCAGGAATTTTTTATCAGCTGTCCCAAACGACGACAAAGTGTATGATATGTTTATTGGATGTGTAGACTTTGTCGAAAATGAAACACATGCAAAACATATGCATTATCTTGAGTGGACTGTGTAAGATGTGACGAATCATCAGATGGTGCTGGCCTGTGGCAGAGGTACTATGCTGGCCACTATGCAGAGGTACTATGCTGGGTAGGAGAGTGTAGTGTGATGTCATATTACTTAATCTGACCAATCGGCACTGAGAATTGCTAAAATGTACATGTGCAAATATGGGAAGGTTGTTACACTCAATCACTCAACCCAGATGGCAAATATTCCTCTTTTTTCAGACTGAGGACATGTGAAGTCCTTGAATCAAAAATGCACATGTCTCCTTACTTCCAGCAACTACCAACAGTAAAACACAGCCATGGTTTTACCAGGTTACCATCACAACTATTGATTAACATCATATCACATCTCATGACAAGTTATCACCCTCATGTCAAAGGAATCGAATCATTACAACTGATTCACTATCCAAAACTACAAAGACCTTCCTACATGTCTACATGGCCCAGTTCCATGGAGTTTTTAGCTCTATTCCAGGGGACTCCAAGCTTGTTACATTGTTCAAGGCCACATAACAATACTCCAGTTATAAGAGAGCAGCCTGTAGATAACAAAGTCAGGACCTGACAACCCAGTGATTCAATATCGTGGTCAACAATTCACGCCATTTTGGTAAAATGACACACAATCAATCAAATCATCAAGTTTGACCACCTGATCAGGTACACAGACTTATGACCAGCATAGGTTGCTGCGGATTCCTTACAATATCAATCACTTGATTGTCTGGTCTATTTTTTCCAGACAGCTGTCATATAGTTGGAATGGTAAGACTTCTGCTCATATCCCACTTTAAAAAAATATATAATTAAAGGATTGAGTGGCAATGCATACATATTACTTTTGGACTGGGGATACGCGTGAAGTCTTTCCGCTGGAATAATGTTGAGTGTGGTGTTCAACAAGAAACAAGCTAACAACTCCTGTTACCTGCTAGTGTAACTTTCTGCCAGGGCAGGAAGAAGATGACCCTCCCGTCACTGGTGGATGGATCAAGCAAACCCATACTCTCAGGACTGGAACACGAACAACAGGCTGTGAGAGAAGGGTTCTCAACTGGAACCTATTCAACATGGCGCATAGCAGTTTGTACTCTGTTTGTAGCAGAGATGTCAGTGGATGGTAGCAAGTATTAATTACACTGTGAGGTGACCCACTAAGTCAATCAGGGCCGAATCAGTCACCCTTCTGTAGTAGTGTCCCTTGTACTGGTCATGTATAACGAGTTATTCACCTGTCGTAGTCATGTATAACCAGCTTATCACCTGTACTGGTCATGTATAACGTGCTATTCACCTGTCGTAGTCATGTATAACCAGGTAATCACCTGTACTGGTCATGTATAACGAGCTATTCACCTGTTGTAGTCATGTATAACCAGCTATTCACCTGTAGTGGTCATGTATAACAAGCTATTCACCTGTAGTGGTCATGTATAACGAGCTATTCACCTGTAGTAGTCATGTATAACAAGCTATTCACCTGGCGTAGTCATGTATAACCAGCTATTCACCTGTAGTAGTCATGTATAACAAGCTATTCACCTGTAGTGGTCATGTATAACAAGCTATTCACCTGTAGTAGTCATGTATAACAAGCTATTCACCTGTCGTAGTCATGTATAACCAGCTAATCACCTGTACTGGTCATGTATAACGAGCTATTCACCTGTCGTAGTCATGTATAACCAGCTAATCACCTGTAGAGGTCATGTATAACGAGTTATTCACCTGTCGTAGTCATGTATAACCAGGTAATCACCTGTACTGGTCATGTATAACGAGTTATTCACCTGTCGTAGTCATGTATAACCAGGTAATCACCTGTACTGGTCATGTATAACGAGCTATTCACCTGTCGTAGTCATGTATAACCAGCTATTCACCTGTCGTAGTCATGTATAACCAGCTATTCACCTGTAGTGGTCATGTATAACAAGCTATTCACCTGTACTGGTCATGTATAACAAGCTATTCACCTGTAGTGGTCATGTATAACGAGCTATTCACCTGTAGTAGTCATGTATAACAAGCTATTCACCTGTTGTAGTCATGTATAACCAGCTATTCACCTGTAGTAGTCATGTATAACAAGCTATTCACCTGTAGTGGTCATGTATAACGAGCTATTCACCTGTAGTAGTCATGTATAACAAGCTATTCACCTGTCGTAGTCATGTATAACCAGCTATTCACCTGTAGTAGTCATGTATAACGAGCTATTCACCTGTAGAAGTCATGTATAACAAGCTATTCACCCGTAGTGGTCATGTATAACAAGCTATTCACCTGTAGTGGTCATGTATAACAAGCTATTCACCTGTAGTGGTCATGTATAACGAGCTATTCACCTGTAGTGGTCATGTATAACGAGCTGTTCACCTGTAGAGGTCATGTTTAACGAGCTATTCACCTGCAGAGGTCATGTAAAACGAGCTATTTACCTTGGTGGTCATGTATAACAAGCTATTCACCTGTAGTGGTCATGTATAACGAGTTATTCACCTGTAGTGGTAATGTATTACGAGCTACTCACCTGTAGTGGTCTGTATAACAAGCTATTCACCTGTAGTGGTAATGTATTACGAGCTACTCACCTGTAGTAGTCATGTATAACAAGCTATTCACCAGTAGTGGTCATGTATAACGAGCTATTCACCTGTAGTGGTAATGTATTACGAGCTACTCACCTGTAGTAGTCATGTATAACAAGCTATTCACCAGTAGTGGTCATGTATAACGAGCTATTCACCTGTAGTGGTAATGTATTACGAGCTACTCACCTGTAGTGGTAATGTATTACGAGCTACTCACCTGTAGTAGTCAGGTAGCACAATATGTACGCCTGAGCTGGGTTGGCAGATTTTCCGCACCTGAGGGTTGGACATTTTACGCAGGGAGTCCGTGTACGGCCCAGTTGCATTTATCACACACTTTGCTTTAATATCAAACTCTTTACCTGAAACAAACACAAAAAGTGGCAGGTAATACCCACAATCAACATTCCGATTCCCACGCTCATCATGGCCGAAACATTAATGGTGACAACATCCATTATCCAGGGATTATATCTCCATTCTATAGTGATAAATACCACGGGCCTATTCATTGCCATAGCTTCATAGATCCATAATGCTAAAAAATTAATAAAGAAGCTTAATATGGAAAGCTGAGCCCATTAAGCATGGCAGGAAATATGGCTGATGAGGTGTCAACATCAACTTTGGTGGCAAATGGGTCAAGGATATTTATCAAAATAGAAAGGAAATATAATACACTGGGTAATCGATCTTGCAAAGGATAGAACATGCTGTACTTTAGTCAGTTAATGTTTACAAAATAATAACGCTTTCAGTGCGTGAGTTTGGGTCTGATGCTGGCTTGGTATTCTGCATATCAATAATCAAGGTTTGTCAGCTTCATGTGTGTGGGAAACCAGAATTGAGGCAGTTTGTTTCACTTTTACATTTTTTGTTAAGCAACGACCACAGGTAGGATACCGACAGGATCATCACCAAGGCAGATCTGGTGTTGAGATGAGAACCAGTTCATCCAGACATTAAAGCAGCTGTGCGCAGCATGAGGCAAAACCTTAGAAGATTGAGCCCCCTACAAACTTCAAACACTACCCTTACATGAGACACCTACCAGAAATTAAATCTTTAACATGAGCTCCACACACTGTCTCCTTCCCCTCCCCATCCATGGTCTTGAGTAGATGAACGACCTCCGTGTGGTTTGTGAGTGCCCCGCCCATCCTCACTGCTGTCATCGCCAATGAAATGTTCATCCGAGCGTCGTCATGCTGACCTGTGGAGAAGGAGGGAAAGCCCAGGATAACACTAGGGGTGAACGACACGTATCACGATACATAGGTAACAATACGACACATATCGCGATATACATATTTACGTCAAATTGTGTGGAAACTTCTTGACTACATGTATAAATATTTTGGAGCATGTACTAAAGGTAAAGCTAGCTTGAGACACATGTTTGTAGCTACTATTTTTAGTTGTGTACTTCAAACATTAATTTCAACATTTTGCGATATTTGACTGACAACAATGCTGGGGATCATTAAATGAGTAGTAAGTAATATACTTTAACAAGTGTATCACCTTGTATCAATACAGAAGAAAACGTATCGTGTATCGTATCATTGCATGAAAAGCTATGATGCACCAGTGTACAATGTATGGTTTCACCCCTAGATAACATCCACATAGATTTACCTTGGTCTCTATATTTGAGAGTCCTGAGGACTCTGGGTTATATATTTTTGGGTACCAAAGATTAAAATGGCATCCACTGCACCAACAGTAAATACAACACAATGTATGTGTGATGCCTTATGCTTATTGAAGATGGGGGATTTCCTTGTTTGATGGACTGTCCTAACTTGTCCTGGAACAACTGAAATATCAGATAAATCTATGTGCAACTAAAATAATATCAATCACTCCAGCACCCATACTCTGTTGTGTCCAATGGGATGCACAGTGAATTTTAATTGTGTCCTTAACTTTCATGTATGGAGGAAGCAATACTTTGCATCCTGTAAAACCCTGCATCTAAAACACGATCTCAACCATGTTAACGTGATCATCATTATTCATAATGGAAACTTTTACTTGGACCAAAAGGTTTACAAAAAGGTATTATATGGTACATTAAAAAGGTTTTGATATTAGCTGATAGTACATCTAGAAATCCAATAGCATATAACTTAAAGGCACACTACATTCAACATAATTGTTACTACTGACATTATAGTAAGGTTTAAGAATCTAATGCAAATAGTAGAGTATTATTTCTACCAATAACCAACATGTCTTCAGAAACTATTAAAAATATCAACATTACAACAACACTTAATTCAGGTAACTTATTATTCTAGTCACGTGAAATAAATAATGCGCAGCAGGGAAGTTTATCTTATGTCATACTTAGAAATATTCAAGCTATATTCCAGTGGACTGAACAATACCAAATCATGGAGTCAAACTAGTGGTTGACAGCATGAGCACACAATCAGCATTCACATATTTGGACCACCTGCTCCTAATACTGATCTGCGCTTGCTACAGGCATGAGGCACTGGGAACCAGCCCTCAATCCCAACACAATTTGGTTGGTTGGTTGGTTTTTTGTTTAACGCCGCATTCAGCAGTATTCCATCTACATGACGGCGGTCTGTAAATTAACGAGTCTGGACCAGACAATCCAGTGATTTATATCATGAACATCGATCCACGCAATTGGGATCGATGACATGCATCAACCAAGTCAGCGAGCCTGACCACCCGATCCAAGTAGTCGCCTCTTACGACAAGCATAGTCGCCTTTTACAGCAAGCATGGGTTGCTGAAGACCTATTCTACCCCGGATCTTCACGGGTCCCCAACACAAGTGAAGACAGCTAAGGAACGTTCCAGCCCACTGACCATCATAGTAGACCAGAGCACCAACAAGCCTGTCCTTCTTCAGCATGGGGAACAACTCCAGGGCCTTCTTCTTGGACAGGTAGTAGCTGGACTTGAGCAGCTGCTTCCCCGCCACCAGGTCGTACATCTTGATCCCCGCCCAGAAGTACGGCACCTGCCACCACCTGTCAAACACACACAGCTGTGTACACTGTCGACTCGGGTAAGTCAGTGTTAGACAGCGTGTCCGAGATCTGGTAGATCTTGAAGGACTCGTCTTGTTGCCAACCTCCAGTTAAATGAGTCACTCGTCCAGTATGTGCGTAATGGTTGTAGTCTTGGCTCTTGGCATCATTTTCAATTGATTTCAGTGTTCTCATATGGACTGTTATTATTAGCTGAACTGACTAGACCAAACAGAATTTTACTAGGCAGGGGCTACGGAGAAGTTGCAGACAGCTAGTCCAAAATGAGCTGTGGACTTTGGATTAAATCATGGTGTCTACCCCTGTAAATGACTGACAAAAGTACTGTCAAGAAACTATTGGTCATAAACTCTGCGCTTGATTAAAAAAAAAACAGTCCAGATGATCTCTACAACCTCACAACCCACTCATGACTCATCTTCACTGATCCATGCAGGAATCACTGCCTCTATGGTGTAGTGGGTAGAGTGTCTGCATGGAGAGCAGGCAGTCAGTGGTTCAAACCTGCCAAGTCACACCAATAGATGTTAAAAGATGGTACTTGTTGTTAGCGTGCCGAGCACTTAGAATTAAGGGACAAGGACTAGTCAGCTCAGATTGTGTACACTGTGTCTGGGTGCACTGCAGCATGGTATCTGAGGAGACTAGCACAATAAAACCGGCATTAGTCAGGAGTAGTACAAGCATGCATCCACGCCTGCCTGCATACAGGCAACATGATGGGGAACGGGTAGGCAAGATGTGGGGCGATGTCACTTACTTGTATACAGGCAACATGATGGGGAACGGGTAGGCAAGATGTGGGGCAATGTCACTTACTTGTATATAGGCAACATGGTGGGGAACGGGTAGGCAAGATGTGGGGCGATGTCACTTACTTGTATACAGGCAACATGATGGGAACGGGTAGGCAAGATGTGAGGCGATGTCACTTACTTGTATACAGGCAACATGATGGGGAACGGATAGGCAAGATGTGGGGCGATGTCACTTACTTGTATACAGGCAACATGATGGGAACGGGTAGGCAAGATGTGAGGCGATGTCACTTACTTGTATACAGGCAACATGATGGGGAACGGGTAGGCAAGATGTGAGGCGATGTCACTTACTTGTATACAGGCAACATGATGGGAACGGGTAGGCAAGATGTGAGGCGATGTCACTTACTTGTATACAGGCAACATGATGGGGAACGGATAGGCAAGATGTGGGGCGATGTCACTTACTTGTATACAGGCAACATGATGGGGAACGGGTAGGCAAGATGTGGGGCGATTTCAATCAGGTTAGCTCTTTCTGCAAGGGCTTCCTTCACCATCCGATACTGGAGAGTAAATAATAATGTAAGTTAAGAAAAAAAGTAAAACATTAATGATATTGTACCAGAGGACAATGTCACTGATGTCCCTGCAATGGTAAATACTTGTCAGGAATAAATTTATGAAACTTGTGACCATGGACACTCAAAAAATATTTTTTTTAGAGAAACCTAAACTATCAAAAGATACCAGTTCACCACTTGATCTATTTATGTGCCAAGTTTGGTGAAGAACTATTGAACGGTTTTCGAGATCTGCTCTGGAAACAAGCACTACTGCCATTTTCAGTCTAAGTCAAAGCTGTTGCTATGGAAACTCATAATTGTATTTTTTAGAGTAAAAATATCATTTATGCTTATCCTGACTCATACTATTGCTTATCTCAACTCATTTCCAAAAGGAAGTGGAAATTTCCTAAACTGTGTTCCCGGAGAACAGAAAAAAATAGCTCACATGATCGCACCCCTGGTCTGCACATGCACACCGGAAACACATGACCTCATCACTCTCTCTTTTTCCTTAATTAAATGGGGAAGCTGGCTGGGAGCGCGTTATAGCGTATGAGTCAGGATAAGCATATATTATATTTTTACACCAAACAATACATATTTTACCTTATCCTGACTCATACCACTGCTTGAATACCAAGGAAGGTGGTGGGTTCCACCTGTGTGCGTGGTTCAGATCAGGATCTGTTCTTATAACCCCCAGGGAACGTGATATTCTTCTATATGCTTCTATTTATTGTCACATACACTTCTCGTTGATCTGTGAAGGGGTAAGGAGACTGCCTTGGCTGCTCTGGCTGAATATTCTGGTAAGGTTGAACACAATATGTTCCATATGTGAAGTTTGTAGAGATCTGGTCTTTGATGAACTTGCTTGGTGTGAAGATGTAGAAGGAAGTTTGGCCAGTTGGGGAGTTTCAGGGTTGGTTTCCTTGCCAATGTGACAAGCTCTGGAAACCAGTTTCTTGCCGGCCAACATCAATAGTAGGTTCTTAGTTAGGACGATCTTCTGTAATATCAGTGCCATCAGTGCTGGTGGTTGGAATGCATAAACATGAAGTACCGCCCAGGATATCACCAGTTTGTCAACGGCCCAAACTGGTCCTGCCGAGACGAAGCCTCTGTCTGTTGAATCTGGTTGCAAATAGGTCCACCGATGGACAACCTGCTTCCCTTGTCACCATTTGGAATGCTTCAACATGGACAGTCACAGACGTAACGTGTACGCGTGACGGCTCTGCCGTCTCTTGTACGCGAGACGGTGCGGTCCGCAGTACTCAGCGAAGCGCTTGATACTAATTAATTCAATCACCGTGGCTGTGCTGTCACCCGCGACCTCCGCGAAAGTAATTAAAGCGCTATGTAAAATCACCCACTGCCGAGAGGGGCCACAACAATCCACCCATGGTCGTGACTGGCGGGTCGCGTGTGCATCGGGGCATCCGCCTTCCTATTTTCACATACGCTATTTTCGAACAGTTAAAACATTTCAACATGTCATTCTGGACTGGATACACTTGAAACTGTACACGTCAAAGCTAGCGACCAGTTATCGCCACTTTTTCATGTTATTTCATGATGGAGTATCCAGGCTGTTAGTGATGGCACGGATGGACTTGATAGGGTTTCCGTTAGAATGTCCGACACTCCTCGCTTGTGTCTTGCCTTCTATCTGTAGCTTGAGACTGTCTGTGAGCTTGTGCAGTTGAAAGGTTAATCTCAGAAGGGCCGCAGATCTTGTCGTTTGATGGAGATTTTTGTAAAATGCCAGTTGAGTTTTCTGTTCTTATCATCCAGAACTTGTCCTTCAGCTGTGGAGCCCAATGAAATGAGCTATAGCTCTGATGACTGCCACAGCTTGTATTGCACCGTGGTGGAAGAATGTAGGCTGCATGAATGCTGAAGGTTGCGTGAGCCCTTCAGGCTGTGTGTAGGTTAGCTGCTGTTTGAACTTCTGCTCCTTCGTGCAGGTTTGTTGCTGCGCGAACCTATGAGGCTGCATGAAGGACTAGTCCAACACGTGTTCTGCAAAGATAGTGGTGTAACCACTGTCAGAGGTTGCATGGAGGTCGTCAGCTGCGTGCAGGTAGTCAGCTGCATGGAGGTAGTCAGCTGCATGAAGGTAGTAGGCTGCGTGCAGCTATCTTATGTGTCTTCAAAGTAGACTTCGTAGACCCGTTCGTAAATCCCTTTACGGATGATACAACAATCGACTTCATGGTGATCACATAAGTGTAGACATGTTCCCTCTTACTTGGAGAGGACTTCGATGGGGCAGAAGAAGAACTCTTCTTCTTCACCAGGGATTGAAGACTCTTCTTGGGATCAGAAGAAACAGCAAAAGATTTCTTGTTCGATCAAGTTGAGCCCTTGATAAGAGCATCAACGCTTATGCTGCCAAGGGGAGAAACTGTAGGGCTGACTGGTTGCATCTGCGGGCAGGGAAGTTCTAGAGGAACTTTCTCTCTGAATTACTTCCTCTTACAGTCCATCTTCTTCCTCTGCACTACAAACAGGTACTGTGCAAATTCTTCTCCACCGAAAAGGGTGCAGAAACCACACCTCTTTGTCTGTTGTGCAGTGTTGAGGGATGCCGGACAAACAGAGCCAAAATATTGAGCCAAATTAAAAAAATAATTGTTAGATATGATGAATTAGATTAGAAGAATGTATACCGAGCAAATCAATTAATGAAAAAGATTACAATTGGATTATAAAGCTCAGGAAGTTTTTCCTCAACCACGCAGTTGGTACAAACATGAGAATGTGACGAGTATAATGGCTTAGTCACGTGTTTCCGGTGTGCATGCGCAGGGGTGCATTCGGGTGAGTTGTTTCTTTCAATTCTCCTGAATTCAGTTCAGGAAATTTCAACTACCTTTCAGAAACGAGAGGAGATAAGCAATAGTATGAGTCAGGATAAAATATATTGTTTTCAAAAGGTGAAACATATTGTGTGGGATAACTTTATTATCATTCCAGCAGTATCAAGGTGTCTGACACAAGCAATGGTCTCACGCATTGTAGCAATGTACGGAATCTAGCTTGGGTCTTTGATATGAAGAGCGAACTCTTTAACGAACCAGGCAAACTCACCACCCTATATGCATTACAAAGACTGGTTAAACCATCATATGTCAATATAATGTTTAAAAACTATTAACAACAATGTAATCTCTGTGCTGCCACTGGTGTTGTACCTGTTCATAGTCAAGGTTGAAGACTGCCTTCTGCAGGTACCGGACGCCGCCATGGATCAACTTCGTGCTTCTGCTGCTGGTTCCGGCTGAGTAGTCAAACTTCTCAACCAGAGATGTCTTCAAGCCTGAACATACATCACAACTGCTACAGAGTTGGTAGCAATACATTACAAAGCCTCTCATCCCTCAACATACATCTCAACCATTATAGTGACAGAAGCAACGGATAAATCCCATTACATACAGGCTCTCATCCCGGAAAATACAATACAAGTCTTTAGGTCAGAAAAAACACTTTACATTCACTCTCCATCTTTAACATCCATCTCCAGAGTGTCCACTTTACCTGGCAACAAGTCGAGTGGGCAGCTGTAATTACAGCATCTAGCGCCTAACTCGACTGACAGCATCTAGTGCCTAACTCGACTGACAGCATCTGGCACCTAACTCAACTGACAGCATCCAGTGCCTTACTCAACTGACAGCTTCTAGTGCCTAACTCAACTGACAGCATCTAGTGCCTAACTCAACTGACAGCATCTAGTGCCTCACACACCTGAGAGCATCTAGTGCCTAACTCAACTGACAGCATCCAGTACCTAAGTCACCTGACAGCTTCTAGTGCCTCACACACCTGAGAGCATCTAGTGCCTAACTCAACTGACAGCTCTAGCCCCTACCTCACCTGACAGCATCCAGTGCCTAACTGAATTGACAGCATCCAGTGCCTACCTCGACTGACAGCATCCAGTGCCTACCTCGACTGACAGCATCCAGTGCCTACCTCGACTGACAGCATCCAGTGCCTACCTCGACTGACAGCATCCAGTGCCTACCTCGACTGACAGCATCCAGTGCCTACCTCGACTGACAGCATCCAGTGCCTACCTCGACTGACAGCATCCAGTGCCTACCTCACCTGACAGCATCCAGTGCCTACCTCGACTGACAGCATCCAGTGCCTACCTCACCTGACAGCATCCAGTGCCTACCTCGACTGACAGCATCCAGTGCCTACCTCGACTGACAGCATCCAGTGCCTACCTCGACTGACAGCATCCAGTGCCACTCCACATCCTGTGGCACCACCTCCCACCACCAGGACATCAAACTCCTCTGTGGCCAGTCGGTTGTGGATGTCCTCCCGTAGGGGCAGAGGTGCATTGCTGTACTGCTGCTGGACATCTGCTGCCAACACTCGTCCCAGCTCTGTCTGTAGCAAACAGAAGCAGTCCGTGAGTAGGTTGTAATGCTGCTTTCATCAGTATCTCAACTGTTTAATTCCATGTCAGGAAAATGTGTATGGTAAGCTAAAAAAGTGATGCAGGTCTTTACCACTTTGATGAAGCATGGGTATGATGCTAACAAACCAAGACACTGGAATATGAATGAATATCACAGGTTTCTGACATGTCTAGGGGAACAAAAAATTGTGGCAACACATCTGTGTCCACTCAAACCAAAGATCATAGGATTGTGGCACAAGTTGGGTAAGGGACATAACTTTGCAAGGCATATGTAGATCATCATCAGTTTTAACTCCTTAACATTAAGAAGTAATTAAATTTGTGATGCAGTTTCCTCATCATGCGGACTTACCAAACCAGAACTTAGTCTTAACAAGAGGCCCATAGGGCCTGTGTCACTCACCTGGATATTTACGCAATCATGACAAAATATACATTTGCATTGTACATGTATATAGTGCTGCAAATATTTCGTAATTTTGACTCTGTCAGCATTTAAAAGGTGTGGATGGCAAATCTGAGAGCATGTACTTCTCTAGATACAAATGTAGCATAAAGATCTGAACTGTTTCCATGTTATGATCCAGGATCTAAGTTTCCAGAGGCAAGACTGGACCCCAGGGCGAATCCTGGAGAATGTTTCCCACCAAATATGGTTGATATCTATCTCTTAGTTCCAGGGAAGAAGTCATTTAAAACAATATAGCCAAATTACCCCTATATGGCCCTGCCTGTCAGGCCCTTGGAGGGGTCAGCCCCACCTTTTGTACAATTTTGAATACACATCACCAAGGGATGCTGCCAGTCAAATTTCGTTAATTTCCAATTGGTGGTTCCGAAGAAGGAGTCGTGAGAAAAAAATGTTGACGTACAGACGACGGACAGACAACGGACGCCACTTATGGCACAAGCTCACCTCCGTACTTCGGACCCGGTGAGCTAAAACACACCAATCCACTACACACTGGGCAGGTCAAAACGTTTCATTCATGAAATAAACTCAAGTAATTCAGATGATTCCCACCAGATGACAGTAACAAGTACACGTTTATATCTGAGTTCTATCTCAGGTGAAAAGAATTCTGGAAGCTTCACTTTAAACTGACCTACCTTCTTTACAGAGAGTCTAGGGTAGATGAATGTCGCTACAAACACCCCACCACCGGCAGCGACACCGGCATAAACCAGTCGCTTCACAGTCTGGGGCCGCACTCGCATGTTGAACAGCTAGCTCTCAGTCAAACCATCACAAGCCTGCAAGTCGAGAAGACAACAACTGTTAATATAGGGGTTAAAAAAACACGGAAACTAGGGCTTTGGGATGAACTAGACCTGGTCATGTCAGACTAACATCACTTTGCAATGCATTCAGTCATACTCCAGCTTGTCAGAGCAATGTGGGGTCAGTGGGACACAGAGTGTGTAGGTATGGGCCGAAACTTTTTAGTCATGCAGATCGTAGTCAGTGACACAATCAGAAGAACCTGGAAAGTGTGCACCGCTAGCCAACTGTATTCCTGTAAATCCTGAAGAAATGAAAGACTGCACATGATAGGTTTTTGTAAACACTGATGGTTCAACTTTCAGTTTGTCATAAATCCTGCCTCGGACATACAGATGTCAATCAGTGACATATAGATGTCAAACGGTGACATACAGATGTCAAACAGCAACATACAGATGTCAAACCGTGACATATAGATGTCAAACTGTACACACAGATGTCAAACAGCAACATACAGATGTCAAACAGTGACATACAGATGTCAAACAGCAACATACAGATGTCAAACAGTGACATACAGATGTCAAACAGCAACATACAGATGTCAAACAGCAACATACAGATGTCAAACAGCGACATACAGATATCAAACAGCAACATACAGATGTCAAACCGTACATACAGATGTCGAACAGCAACATACAGTTGTTAAACAGCGACATACAGATGTCAAACAGCGACATGCAGATGTCAAACAGCGACATAAAGATGTCAAACAGCGACATACAGATGTCAAAAAGCAATATACAGATGTCAAACATCAACATACAGATGTCAAACAGCAACATAGATGTCAAACAGTGACAAACATATGTCAAACAGTGATATACAGATGTCAAACCGTACATTCAGATGTCAAACAGTGACATACAGATGTCAAACAGTGACATACAGATGTCAAACCGTACATACAGATGTCAAACCGTACATACAGATGTCAAACAGCAACATACAGATGTCAAACAGCAACATACAGATGTCAAACCGTGACATACAGATGTCAAACAGCAACATACAGATGTCAAACAGCAACATACAGATGTCAAACAGCAACATACAGATGTCAAACCGTGACATACAGATGTCAAACAGCAACATACAGATGTCAAACAGCAACATACAGTTGTCAAACAGCGACATACAGATGTCAAACAGCAACATACAGATGTCAAACAGCAACATACAGATGTCAAACAGCAGCAAACAGATGTCAAACAGCAACATACAGATGTCAAACAGCAACAACCCATCCACTGCCGTTTCCCACCGGACCCTGCATACACTGATGCCTCAGTTAGTTTGCGGCTCTGCATTCTTGTCATGAGCAGCTGGCTTTAATACACACTGGGTAATGTGAGCTGAATGCATGTGTATGATGAATACATTATTCATGAAGTCGTAGCCCATCATGTTGCTGGGAGCATCTGGGACAGCTGACATCACCAATACCTACAGAGATTATTTTACACCTGTTGAGCATGTTGAGAGGCTGGCGTTCTGCCATTATTCAGCCAATGGCAGTAAACTGGAAATAATTTTTTAATTTGACGTTTACACGAAATACGGCTTTTCCATTAAACGAGAGGTCGGTCACATGACCGCGAAGTTGACGTTCATACGTTTTTCACAAGACCGTGTTCTTGAAATGACGTAAACACTGACGGACTACTTCCACATTCCTGGGTAAACCCCTGGGAATTCCCTAGCACGAAAACATACATTAGCATTATTTCTGATCATTTAGAACCTTTTATCTTGGTCTCAGCATTTCAGTATACATTGAGAAACGTAAGAGAGCTTGACTGCATGATTGTTCACGAATTTCCTTGCTACGGCCCATCCTAATGAACAAACGAAAAAATGCACATCCAAACTATCGTCAGTATAGACTCGATCTGTGTCTAGGCTGACAGTGACCGTCTCCAGCAATCTACGAATTTACCTTGGTGTCTGTTTGACGCATCTTTAATCACCTTTCAATAATCGATCAGTTGATCAATTATGACTAACACATGTAACCGCCACAGGTTCATAAACAACTTTGGAAATCCTATCCTTTATCGTGTCGGCCATTTTGACGTCTTGTACTTGATGTAATTTATGTATTACGACGCGCTGTCATTGTGGCTGACTTACTGAGGTAGTTCATTACAGACCTTTCTCATCTAATGGTGATATTATATGAACACATGTGTTGCATAAGATGTTTCTGAAGAGCAAGTTCTGCATCCATACGCTCATGTCACCTCTCTTTTGGGGGGATCTATTTTATTCCGCGATATAGCTGGTTGTTGTTTGGCTGTCAGTGTAAACATGAAGTCACACGTACTAAATAAAATTTGTGTTTAGATCTTGGCCTACGTCCTTTGAGGAAAGAAATTGTAATAAAAAATTATAAGAATTGACCTTCACTTTGTGTGAGTTCATTGGAGTATGAACCTGCATAGAGTGAGGGCCAAACATTGTATGAACGTCGTCGCAAGTTCCGACGTTCATACAGTTTGGCCTTCACTCTATGCAGGTTCATACTCCAATGAACTCACACAAAGTGAAGGTCAATTCTTAATTAAATGTAATGTTCATGCAGTTGTAACTAATGTGATGGCATGTGTATTGAGACATGTATTTCACTAATAGTAGGACCAATAAAGCGGAAGAGGCTTTAATGATTAATTTTTGCTGTATTTCATTGAACAGCAATGTCATAACACCTCTGAATTAAAGAAAACAGGAACTTCTAAAAAATCAGTTTTGAACAAAAGTACATTTTTTTTCTAATTTGCTTCAGTTGAAATTAGGAGATAAACCTACTGACTTTTGAAATTTTAGGTTACCTAACTGTAGATTTGATGATGATGATGATGATGATGATGATGATGATGATGATGATGAGTCCCGTAAGGTCTCAGAGTCAAGCTGCAGAACGCAGTCACCCATCCAACTACTCTCCACCACCAACACTACATGATTTCACCTGATTTGGGACCTGTGTGTTGTGCTTGTCGTAAGAGTGAGTGAGGGAGTGAGTTTGGTTTTACGCCGCTTTTAGCAATATTCCAGCAATATCACGGCGGGGGACACCAGAAATGGGCTTCACACATTGTACCCATGTCGGGATTCGAACCCGGGTCTTCGGCGTGACGAGCGAACGCTTTAACCACTAGGCTAACGGTCCGCCCCCGCTTGTCGTAAGAGGCAACTATTGGGATCGAGTGGGCAGGCTTGGCTGATGTATGTCATCGTATCACATTTGCGTGGATCGCTGCTATTGATGTCAATCACTGGATTATCTGGTCCATACTCGATTATTTACAGACCACTGTCATATACATGTAGATGGAAAATTGCTGAGTACAGCATTAAACAACAAACAAACAAACAAACCTACAAACCTGTGTGTTGTACATGGGACACGTATCACCTCTCACATAAAGGTATGACTCGTGATATTCAGCTACCAGCCCTGGTGTCGTCTTAATATGCAGTATGTTGGATTCCACTACACATATAACTCACAGCCAAATATGCGAAAGCTTGAATTGAATAATGTTCCACATATTTATGAGAAAAACATTCAAATTCAACATGTGATGATGGGAATATTTGCTACTTGGTATTGCAGCCCTAGAATTCAGTAGAATGAGTGTGAGCTGACTTACAAACTATTTTTGGTCTTCTGATATGTATTTTGGAACTTGGTGATGCGACCTACTAGACATCTCAGTGCCACCTTTTCATTATAATACCTTGTGAGATGACAAAGTTCTGATAAACAGGAAATAGTTTTAGCAATCAATGTCTTGGAATTTGCACTTGTAGAGAAAAAACTTGCTTCCTATTAGATATGGGATATATACGTTATCATGGGTATACCTATATATTGCAATACGGACATCAGCAACATACGTATCACAAATATGCCCCATGTGTATTGATAGTCACAGAAGAATATATAATTACGGTAATTAAATTACCGTATTCGACGTAATAAGCGGCCAGGGCGCTCTCAAAATTAGAAATAGGGGTCTCTTATTAGAAAATTATTTAGGTGGAAACAAACAGAGTTGAAAGATAAATTTCGTGGATTATGCTGACAGCCTGAACTGTTTATATACAACAGATATATTTAATAGAATTTAATTGCCCATGATTCAGGGTGCATATAACACACGAGTGCGTATTATACACGAATGGATAAGTCTTGTGTACATTGATCAATCGGAAGGGGTGGTAATTGGGATTGTTCACTTGCCAATAAATTAACAAATATCGCCGTGGGTGCTTATTAGAGCGGGGCGCTTATTACGTCGAATACGGTATATAAATTATATCTACTATCTTGAGACATTTGGATGAATTGGGTTCCTATGTAAACAGCACAAGCTTCGCACTGTGTACATTAACATCCCATACTGATGATGGAATCATGGTATAGGTCGTCTCGTTATCCATACGTCATAACCGATCTCGCAATCTGAAGTCTGGATTAGTGACTGAAGCAGCGCCCAGTTTAGAATTGTCATTTGTTCCACATTATCATTTAAGGGTTAAACCATGCCATTAGTCATAAAGTGTTTCACTTGAAAAATACATATATATGTTTATCATATAATGGGTAGGTTTCCTGGCAGGATAAAGCCAACGGATAAAAACGATATCCGTTGGGGTCATATGCGGATAGAGATGCAAAAATTTCAAAGGTCAAGTTGGGACTACTTTCAGTGTTTATAAACAAACATGGCGTCGCACTTGTCATTTGGCGATCGAGTCAGAATTAACCATCGGGAATCTGGATAAACTACTGGAATAATTGCTATCATTATCAAAAGAACAGTCTTATATACTGAAAATCAGTGTCTAACTGTGACATAGCTAAGGCATTTTATAAGTTTGGGCAACTTTCGAAACAATTTTGCAAGGGCACTAGGCCTAGCCAAGCCGGATCAGTAGCCATATCTGTGCTTGTAGA